TAGCGTTCTGTGCTCTACATTTTGATATGTTCTGACTTTCATGGTGAAATGAAATTGTGCATTATATTTTCATTTTTCTTATGTATCACTTTATGTTAAGTAATAAATACTGTTGATATTCGATAGTTCCATTGTTTCATTAACCTTGTATTAATGAAGTCATCGACTAAATTATTTTCTGAAGATGACTGTCTTCAAGGCAGTTGCCCTGATGATGAAGGCATCAGGCACCTCTGAAATATCAATAAACTTCTACTACACTACATAGTGTAACAACCCAGAAGACAACCATCTTCACACTTGCTGCCACAAGAAACTCAGATCTCTCAAATTATTTTCCCTTTCCTATATGGTCTTATATCAGAATATGCCATAATTGTGTCTCTAGTATTTTCAGAAACAAATATACATAACCTCATTTCAACATTTATAATACAGCATTTAAATCTCACTTATGGGAAAACTTCCACAGGAAAATTAAATTTTCTTCCAAAATTTAAGTTAAATACATCAACAACTATAGTGTCACAGGGTCCGATGGCACTAGAAAATGGATGAAGAATGGTTCATAGGTTAATTTAAAGTGTTGCAAGAGATGGGAGAATGCCATGATTGGGCAGGAAGGGATTTTGTAGGAGGTACTCATGACATTTAAAGGTACTATTCCAGAATTTTCCAAGACAGACTATGGAAAAAATGAAAATATTAGGACAGCTAATGGCCCCACTATACATAAAAGAGGAACATCTCAATTACAAGTTTGTATATTACTGCTATACCAACCTGCACAGTGGATAAGGAAATGCATTTTCAACCCATTCATGATAACTTTGGAAATTCAACTATGGACTGTTCATCATACACACAAAGTAGTCTTATCTATATTGGGTACAGATACTGATAAAGACCTCATTTTTTACAGAACTTGAAATGGACACACCTGGAAAAATGTAGAGGCGTAGGTGATAATGTCCTAAATATGTATGAAGCATAAATAAAGTACCATTAATTAAAATCCTATCAGAATCTCTTACAAGAAATGACATACATGGTATGATAAGCAAATTCTTTTACAAAAGAAAGCAATAAAACACTTGCCTAACACACTTTATTTTGGACAATGATTAGATGTGATAAGGTTAAAACCAACATGACGAATTTTCTACAGCATGTCAAAAAACATACAAGAAGGAACAGAATTCAAATCAGGATGTTAAGCAAGATATAAAATCTGAAATACTGCAGGAATTATATCAAAAGAATGACCAAGTGAAGGAAGATACACAAAAGAAAGTAAGGAATGAATGGACACAAGAACAGGAGGAATTCTTATGGGAAGATAAAAAAGTTAAGCCCACCCAGAAAGAAATTACATAGCATTATAGGCACTTTTTTTTGTGAAATCTACAATAATTTTATGTAATGGCACCAACACAAATACTAAGGATTACATTATATGCAAATTAATTTATTTTATTAGTTTCCTTCTTTCTGCTTCTATGGACTATGCCATCTGGCCTATTCCAACACAAAATTAACTTCTGAAACAAAGAACCTTTTTACATACTTAGAATAGCCCACTGAATGAGGGACTGGTGCATTTCAAGTCCTCTATACCTACACAGGACTGAACAACACAGACAAACATCCATGCCTCATACCTCATGTAGGATTTGAATCCAGACCATGTATCTCTTAGGGCGGCTGCACACCAACTGCGTCAAGACAAGCATCAAGACATGAGACAAAAGACGCAGTCTTGCTTCATTCATGATTCAGACTCGAGTCCGCACACCGGAGTAGCACGTGTCTGGGTCTTATCACATCTTCTCTAGTTGATGACATGACATCGTCCAGTTTTATGTGTAAGTGAGAGCAGACTTGTACGAAACGAGCTTGTGCTCAATGTGTATAATAGTTAATTCAGTCATTAGCTCATTAAAACAAAAGTAATCAGTGCACTTACCATCTATGTTTACTTCTTTTGAAACTGCATGCCAAGCTTTATCAATCTCCTCCTTGCTTGAGTGGCCCGGGGACGAATAATCGTATAATACCGGGAATTTCTTAACCGTCTGCACTGTGCTCCTTTCTTTGCGTCATGTCGCAGACATCGTGTCTTGACTGTTACATGTCTTGACGCATGCCGGTGTGCGGCCTACCTTAGACTCCACAGCTCAGCCTCTTTTTTATCAGCCTCACACACAAAAAAAGAATTGAAAATACAGTTATCTTTATACAATATTGAAGCACTGATTCTTACCCAAATGGCTGCTTCATTAAACAACATTAAGCTCATTATAAAGCCAAAAAATATTAATTATTTTTCTTGCATGTTAAAATTTTGTTTCCCATCTTAAACACAGCAATACTGAAATGGTACACATAAGTTACCTGACTTTTTCCTTCTTTGGTATATTATAAAGCTCACATTCATGTGCAATGTAATTTAGACAAATTACATACATACAATGGGTATGGGTATCATCAAATTCAAAGGATGGAAGCTTGCAGCTTAATATGTATAAATGTATATATGACATAATCACAGAAAAGTATTATGGATATAAAGATTGATTAATGTCTGAAAGCACTTCACCACAACCTGACTAATAAATTGCAATTCAGCTTCTTCAAATTATGTAAAAATATATGCAATTATAAATGTCTGCTACAAAGAATTGTCATGATCTGTTTTAGAGCTAATTACAACAAGCAATATATGTAATAAATATCAGAATGACTAGAGTGATGTATATGGTTATGTTTCCATGCAAATACCATATTGGTTATATTATTATTAATCAGTAATCTCCACACAACAATGTTATAAATGTTTGTGCTATGTACTTACTTACATGTCTTGGTACCTATTTTACTGTGCAACATGTTCTGAACTCACATGGTCCATCAATATCTGTGTAACTACTCTGCATAACAGGAGTGATATTGTGATTAAAATATAACACATACAATGCATAAAACTATGTAGGAACAAACACCACTAATTCTTTTTCTCATGTGGTACTGGACGCAGTTCATATTTGACTGGCTGACTAAAATTTATAAACAATTATAAAATGAATATTAAACTACAAAAATAAACAATTGTGAGATGAGTGTTAAAATATAAAATTGTATGTACACTATATGATATTAGCTGGTCATTCGCATACAAATATATTATGGGTTTATAATTATATACTATCATTGCAGATTTAGTCCATCCTCATATCTTAGAACAGAGGCTCCCAAAGTGTGGGGCGCCTCCCCCTGGAGGGGGGGGGGGGCGTGTTGTTTGTATGTAACGTCCTTCGCCTGATTGAGGCAGTCCAGCAGTGGCAGCCATCAAAACAAAGTATCGTTCTACGATGAACCTGGAAAACGACCTTAGAGCGGTCATTTCAAAACTCCAACCTCGGTATGATAAGTTATGTTCACAGAAGGAACCACATCCATCCCACTAATCCAGGTATGAAGCGTATATTTTATTACGTTTTTTTTAAATTAAATGCATTGAATAATATTTACTAACTTATAAAAAAAATATATACTCATTGCTAAATTTTATGTCAAATCTGTTCGCTTGCCTTGTTCTGGAAAGGGGGGGACATGAAATTTATGAAATGTTTTAAGGGGGGCACAAGGTTTGGGAACCTCTGTCCTAGAAGTTTCCAATGGCAGTTTCCACAAAATGAAGCTACTAGTTGCACACACCTACATGCACTGTAATCAGGAGCATACACAAAGAAGCTACAAGTCACTTCACAGCACTGCAACAACAACAACAAAATGGCAAGTACTTTCACACACACATATATCAGGAATACAACCACCCTCAATATGAAATCATCATATAGCATTATAATTTAATTAAATTAAATTTTTATCAGTCATTTTCACAAATTTACAGTTCACAATCTGTTCTTTTGAATTACATGTTCCAGCTCAATGCAGCCATCATCTGGTTCAAATAAACATCTGAAATCAAATGAACCTGATGATGACAATGTTGGGCTGAAAAATATAATTCAAAAGAATAGACTGTGAACTGTAAGTCTGTGAAAGTGACTGACAAAATCAACAAGAATTATATTAGTGACATGAATACGATTTCAAAACAGTAATACTGCAGCATAAACAGAAATACAACACATAAATGTAGCTTTAGTAATTTTATATTTTAACTTATCTCATAATTGTTTATTTTTATATTTTAATACTCATTCTAATTTGTTTATTAATTTTAGTTGGTCAATCAAAAATTAACTGTATCCAGTACCATACAGAAAGAAGAATAAGCAGTGTATGTTCCTATATTGTTTTATGCATTTTACATTTTATGTTTTAACCCCAATAACACCCCTGATGTGCAGAATAATTGCACAGATAATGGCCTGAGGATGGACCATATGAGTCAAAAATGTATTGCATTATAAAATATGCATCGAGGCATGTAAATAAGTGCACAACACTTACATTTATAACAACGTTGTGTGGAGACAGCTTCTTAGTAATAACATAACAACATCTACAATATGACACTCCAATATAACCTACTGTATTTGGTGTTTCACCCTTCCCAAATAATATCTTCCAGCTAAGAAATATTTTCGATAGGGTCTTGAGGCAGTAACTTCCATAATATTGGCTACTCAATAGACTGCAAGGGCCTTGAATTAGAAGTCATATAGTATTCCCTTTTCACTCAACATCACAGTTGAGTAGTCAGTATTCCTTTATTTCTTCAGTACTTATAGTCAAATACTGGAGCAGTAGGCTATCTTCAAGGCCACAACCACCTCCTTCTACATCCTCTCCAATTAATTATTCAAAGTCATCCTTGAACTGATACTATAAAACCTATGCAGTTGAATAGTGTCATTTCATAATGCAAGAATTAATCAATGAACCTATCCTTTAAAAAAATGTTTGAAAACAAAAGTTAAATTACATCTCTCATTTGACATGTCTAAATTCTGAAACATATCCAAAGAAAGCAATATATAACATACTTTATTACGTAAAGTTAGTTTTAATGGATTTACAAATGTATGTAGCAAGACCAGTAAGTATGCCTTATACAAATTTTGATTTTCCAGTAGATAATTCAACTATTTTATGAGTATTCTAATTTACTTTGTGATATAAACCAACATTTATTAAACTATTAATGTCAATATAATTGTTTTTTAATTCTCCCTGCAAACCATCTTGATTTCCAAACTAAGTTATCAAAATACAGTGTTAGTGATGTAGTTGTCCCTAAGCCTAAGGAGAGTGGAAGTAAATCGGCACACAATCCTGACACTGGCACTGGATGGAGGCAAGTGGTTAGCTTCATCACTGGGCTGCTTTACTCTAGGGAACGATCCCCCAGAACCCATGATTGGCATCTATAGTCAGTCTGGCTGTGATACGGATAAGAAAAACAAAAATCTTTGTCCTCCCCAGGATTAAATCCCAGTTCTTGAGCCCTTAATCAGTCACATAACTGAGCTATCACACGCCTAAAGTATCAGTAGTACAATTATACACAGCACAAATCCGTGCCTACTGCCCTAGTCCATCACAGTCAAAATTAAAGCATCCAACATAAAATCCCAAAGTACCTAAGCAAAGTACCCAATATTGTTTTTTTTAAAAGAGTAGAGTACAACTGTCCCACTATGTGCCATGTAGGCGCTTGTGGGGAGAGGAGATATAGATCCTACTCATTCTTGACATCGGCACTAGATGGTGGCGAGCGGTCAGAATCACGCCCCAGCCGTGCTTACCCAATATTGGTAGTTATTAAAAGTCAAAAATTATTTAAAAGGCTTAATTAGAATGCACCGCAGATAGATGTTATGTGACTGTGGTGTAGTGTAAAATCATACTTTTCAATTCAATCAGTATCAACAACATGTCAGACAAGGTCAGGGTAGGTCAGGCTGGGCTAAGCTAATGTAGTTATGTTAGCTTCAGATAGGCTAGGCAATGTTAGGGTAGGTTAAATTAAGCTAGAATACATTAGGCTGGGCTAGGTTAGATTAGGCATGTAAAGGTTGGGCTAGGGTAGACTAGGGTACATTATAACAGATATGTTACATTAAACTGTGTGTATTCTAGTATCGATTTCACCCTTGCAGTCTTGTTACATTAATGGTAATAGTTGAAATCAAACCTATAACCCTTTGAGTACTATACTTGTATGTTAATTACACAAATAAGCCTCCCATCTGTTCCCAAACCCACCTCCTACCACTAATATAAAAGATAAAAGTATCTGTCAATGAAATAAAAATCACTTCCAAACAAGAGTAGAGTCAAATACTAAAATGTTGTACATATGAAATATACCTCAGACAATAAACATGTTCAACCTACCATGGAACAATAAATCAGTCACTGCCACAGACATGCGGAGAACCACAAGAAAGTATGGAGAGCAGTAAAGCATATTAAAACCCATTCATGTTTTTCAAAGTTCAAGTGGTATGTTTATTTGGACATGTATGTCAAGTGTCTTCTAATAGATCATCCAAGTATTTGCTAAATGGTGCAATTAAACACAAGACAGGTTCATAATAACTAGTCTCAAGCAAAACAATCTATTGGATTTCACATACGGCTGATTTTGAGGCTCCAGGTGGCACATGACTAGAAGCAAGGGAGTGTGCATCTGTTACTGCAGTGGTTGCTGGAGAATGCAGAATCTCAGCCTGCATGAGAGGTTGCTGCTCTTCTTGTTCAGCACGGCTCAGTTTCAGTCCAAGCACATCTGCTACAATCTTATGAAAACTGAGTGCTACCTGCCACAGAAATCCAGAACAATGAATATTAGTAAACCTTGTCTCTTTATTAAGTTATGAAATTACATTTTGCTATTTTAAACTATTAATCAAGCATTTTCTTTGAAGAACTGAGAAAACTTCGAAGAATTTCAGTCATAATAATAGGTTTCTTCCAGACCAACAATCTAACATGGATCTTACCGAATATGAAGAAGGAATGTTACCGATTTGATTGTGACATGTGGAAATTGGAAAAACACTGCAGAATAAGTCCTAAGTCATGTCTATCTGCAAGTTTCACCTCCAGAAATACTCAATAGACTTTAATAAAAATCTGGTTTTGGGTTATACATGAAAAGTTATACATCTAATTCTTGATTATAATTGTAAAATACATACACTATTTTATATAAAAATCAAACTCTATTTCACAAAAATTGCACACACACAAACAATCACTGTAATAAAGCATATGCCTCCAAGCTCTACAACTTTCAATGATACATTTTTCAATATGGTGTATACTTAATTAAATAAATATCAATGATGTTTATAACTGTAATGTGTTTTGGGGTGACTATTATGCACAAGCATTACCAAAACAAAACAAAATCAAAAATGTGCATTACATTATCTGGCAGTAAGTTTCTCTTGGTCAAATTGTTTGTTAATACTAAAGTTCTAAAATCAAATCTACTGCTCTAGTTGGTGCAGTAAGACTTTGAAGCCATGTTCACCGAAATAATATCAAAATACGTGGTTCTTATTACTAAGAATACAAAACAGTTCCTCATTGCACAGACAAACTCATTAATGTTGTTCAGGGAAACAATTACAGTTTATTCTGAGAATCATAGAAACCCACAAATGTAAATTTTGGCAGTGTCATTCTTCCATATTACATTCAATGACTGCACTGCCATGACTCAGTTACAAAATCCCCGTTTATAGGGACAGGGTCAATGATGTGAAGGTGAGATCAGTGTTAAGTAAGGTAAAAGAGACTTCATAAGATGTTACATAGCCATTACAGTGCAAGTTTCTTTTATATATAACTCACCATCTCTCCAGTGCGGGCTGATACAAGATGAGAACTCAATCCATTCTCTTGAGAGAATTTGTGCTGTCTGTCAGGACGAACCTTTCTCTTGTGCTCTAAGTCACCTAGCATATAACACACAGACAAAGTGACACTGATCAGCATGTGAATTTACTACTGATCACCTACGCATGCTTGTTTTACTTACACTTTGATTAGACTTTCTAACATGAATTCCCAATACCATGAATGTGAGGGGGGAAGAAAAGAAAAACAAAAAAACTGAACCTTGATCACCCAATCTGTACCCGGTCACTTTAATTGTCTGTTCAATTCAATAGTTGCAGTATTTAACAACTGATATACAAAAAATATCTTTCTTTTAATTCGCACATACTTTCATACTGGTTATTATAAACAAACATAAATTCAATCACAAGTTAGGTTACTTTAGTTGAATTCAATTTATTTAATAATATTTTGTATTAGATTTAGTACACATAAGCAAAACATATTACGCAACAAATTTTGTGGTAGATGATGTCAAATAGATATAAGGCAATTGTGTTGATAAGCTAATCTAAAAGAGGCAGCTGTCTGGAAATATTTTTCAACAGAAACACTTCAGTGCACTAAGTAATTTTTAATATTCATCTTATATGACTTCCCTGCCAAAATCTGATGCACTTCGCATGTAGGAATGCCTTCTACTTGCTTAAGAGATGAAGTGTAAAAACATCTTTAAGATTTTTGAACAAACTGGGCTCCACATTAACACCATAAACATGACTTACATTTATTAGCAACAACTGCTATCATTGGTTGAGGCTCCTGTGACACTGTTACCTTGCGTATTGTATCAAGCCATTCTTCCAATGAGTCAAAACTTACAATATTTGTAATATCAAAGACTAATAAAATAACCTGTAACAAAAGTAGCAATTAACTTTATGGACTTCTTGGAATCATAACTTGCGGACAGATGGGTAGGAGACAACATAAGGGAAAGAAAAAATACAACTATAATGATGAAAATAAAGAAAGATGAGAAAAAAGAGGTAAAAGAAATTAAAACAGGAAGAAAGTAGATTTATAATTTTCCCTTAAGCACTTTCTTGGCCATTTCTGTTACTCTGTTCCCAGGTAAATCTTTACCATACACCAGTACCATTAAAACCTCACATCTAGAAAATCAGAAATATACTTGCAATATTCAATGAATTTACAAAGAAATGAAGAAACATTCCTACCACAAATTTAAAGGAAGTTACAGAAAAATTTTACTGTGGGCTTCTTACTCATGCATGCCACACAAAAACTATAAATGTTTGTTTTATACCAAATCAGATTTTTCCTATAGCCTCTGCGTCCAGACCAGTTCTGGAGCCCACCCAGCCTCCTATCCAATGAGTACGGGGTCCTTTCCTGGGGGTAAAGCATGGCTGGAGCATGATGCTGACCACTGACCCCCATCTAGTGCCAAGGTCAAGAATGAGTAGGAGCTATACCTCCTATCCCCACAAGCCAATACATGGTGTATAGTGGGGCAGCCTTACTTTATTTTTACTTTACTTTAGACCACATCTTTGCTTCCAGTATGGGGCTGCACCAGCATTTTTCTTATGGTAAAAAAGAAAAATTAAAAAAACCCTAACTTACATTAATTGTAGTAACTGACTGCCTTTTACTCACATCAGCTCCAAATATATATTTATCTAACATATTCCCTGCAAGAGACTGTCCTCCTACATCCCATATCTGAAGTGTAATATTGCCAGCTCCTGAAAGAACTGTTCTCTTTAAAAAAAAGTCAACTCCTGCGGTAGGAAAGTACTGCCGTGTAAATTCATCATGGCAGTAACGTGACGCCAAGCAGGTCTGAAACAGAACACAAAACATCTACTCTAATACCTTTATTGCTGCATGTACCATCACCATGCAGATCTCATGGCAAAATATTATTCATACTATACTGATAAGTTTTGATAATGTAAATCTGTAGTCTACAATTGCTTACTGCAGTGCTTCAAAGCTACTAGCAGCATTTCTTCTGGATAAGAAAATGTAAATAATAATTGTGTGATAAGATTTCTGTGTACTGCTGTCATTTTGGGGAATTCAACTTTACAAATACTTTCCACAATCAGACAAGTTTGTAAGACACCAACCTACAAACCCAAAATGACTGAGAGTTATAAAGCATGTCAGCAAATATCCTTTAAGCAATTGCTGTAACTGTATTTCTGCACCTTTAAAAGTGGCTCCCTTTAAGTGCATGTGCGGTATATACTAATTCTCTTAAATCAATGAGTCCCACATTCTTTACCTTTCCACTGCCTGCTTCACCAACAATTACTATCTTCAACTGCCTTTCAACTGCTTCATCTTCGGAGTCTGACATACTTTCAAACAACCAATGAGTTTAATATTCTATAAACATATGTTATGGTTGCGGACATTCTGAAGCTTCATTATTGACATAAAATATTTACATCATAAAAATCTAGTCTTCGGCCGCTAGTTAGACATCAGACAAAATAGTGTCCGCGTTTCAAATACCAACAAAGTTTTACACACCCCTGCAGCCAATGTTTTCTTTGCAGCGGAGTATCCCCACAAGCCAATACATGGTGTATAGTGGGGCAGCCTTACTTTATTTTTACTTTACTTTAGACCACATCTTTGCTTCCAGTATGGGGCTGCACCAGCATTTTTCTTATGGTAAAAAAGAAAAATTAAAAAAACCCTAACTTACATTAATTGTAGTAACTGACTGCCTTTTACTCACATCAGCTCCAAATATATATTTATCTAACATATTCCCTGCAAGAGACTGTCCTCCTACATCCCATATCTGAAGTGTAATATTGCCAGCTCCTGAAAGAACTGTTCTCTTTAAAAAAAAGTCAACTCCTGCGGTAGGAAAGTACTGCCGTGTAAATTCATCATGGCAGTAACGTGACGCCAAGCAGGTCTGAAACAGAACACAAAACATCTACTCTAATACCTTTATTGCTGCATGTACCATCACCATGCAGATCTCATGGCAAAATATTATTCATACTATACTGATAAGTTTTGATAATGTAAATCTGTAGTCTACAATTGCTTACTGCAGTGCTTCAAAGCTACTAGCAGCATTTCTTCTGGATAAGAAAATGTAAATAATAATTGTGTGATAAGATTTCTGTGTACTGCTGTCATTTTGGGGAATTCAACTTTACAAATACTTTCCACAATCAGACAAGTTTGTAAGACACCAACCTACAAACCCAAAATGACTGAGAGTTATAAAGCATGTCAGCAAATATCCTTTAAGCAATTGCTGTAACTGTATTTCTGCACCTTTAAAAGTGGCTCCCTTTAAGTGCATGTGCGGTATATACTAATTCTCTTAAATCAATGAGTCCCACATTCTTTACCTTTCCACTGCCTGCTTCACCAACAATTACTATCTTCAACTGCCTTTCAACTGCTTCATCTTCGGAGTCTGACATACTTTCAAACAACCAATGAGTTTAATATTCTATAAACATATGTTATGGTTGCGGACATTCTGAAGCTTCATTATTGACATAAAATATTTACATCATAAAAATCTAGTCTTCGGCCGCTAGTTAGACATCAGACAAAATAGTGTCCGCGTTTCAAATACCAACAAAGTTTTACACACCCCTGCAGCCAATGTTTTCTTTGCAGCGGAGTTGGTAGAGCGAAATTTGCGAGGAGAGACTTTATGCTGAGTGCCGCACAGATTATAAAAACAGAGAGGGTGTACCTTATAATTTGAAAATTATATACTTTCACGTACACGTAATAGAAAATAACCAGAGACTTTTCACACCACTTAGTAGCTGGGTAACAGAAACTGCTTATACTCCTTAAAATAAAATGTCACTTCTAGTGATGTGAGGATATTTAAGGCTTTGTAATCTGTGACGAATAGTTTCTTTGGTGTATGTCTATGGTTGCGGTTATATTATGATTTTAAGGTTATGTGCACCTATGTTACATTTTTAGTCAGTTTGAATATTCGTTTTCAAGCCTGGAATGTATAGATCATATCAACATTCAAAACGTACAAAATGGAAGAACTCACTAGAGTGGAAGTAATTTTGAATGATATGAATGGAAATCCAAGTTGTCCACATGGTATCTGTCGTGTTTGTTCTTTGGATATGTTTCTGTAACTGTATTGTATGTTAGGTATCTTTAGTATAATACGTGTGCTATTATTTGTTCTATACCCTGCGTACTAATATTAAGGGATTCAATTTTATCTGATTAGTGAGGTTAGGTTCACTTTTCTTCACAATGGGTGTTGTAGTCGTGGTGGGAAAGGGAGGGGTAACAAGGATAAAATCCGTACTTCTGTACTGCATTGTTTGAGGTCATGTATATTGTTTTATTTATTATTAACTTGGTCTTAAATTTGTAATATAACAGAAAATACTTTGGTCCTAGAATGATAACAGTCTTGAAAACTGACATGATATAGTAACTGATAGCTTGTATTCTCATGTTTGATTGTTGATGATGTGTTTGCCTTTCAGGACCAATGCTACTTTTTAAGCGTGTTGTCAATGGTGCAGAGAGAAGTTTTTTTGCTTGTTCAGCATGTCGAGATCGTAAGGATTGCAATTTTTTTCTGTGGGCTGATGAGAAGGTGACACCAAATAAGAAGAAGACTTGGGACTTGGAGCGAGATAGAATAACCCCAAAAATTAACCATGTGAAACTTTATAAAATGTTTGTGAAATTGCTTGAGAAGTCTCCAGAACAACGAGCTTTTTGTCATACATGTAGCATTCTTCTGATATCTAATGAAATTGCAAAGAAACATGATGAGCATGATGTAACATTTGGTATTTCTGAATATCTCTTGACACATCCATCAGAGGTAATGTGACCACTGACACATAAAAAACCAAGTTTTCTTAAAGCATGCATCACCACATATTTAACCATGTGTTGTTGATATTTATTTCCCAATATAATTGTTACAAAGTTTGATTTCTGTGAAGCAAAAGTTATATTCCTTATTTTTTTCACCATCACTATCATAGTAAGAACCAAGTTTTACACCCTTTCAAAACAATAGGAGAAATTACATTTTATTTTATTTAATCCTTACATTTTCAATGACTGGTTTTGTGCATTTTATAATTATTGTATGTTTTTAAGAAGAATGGACAGTACTGAACTATGTTACAGCATAAAATATAAATAAATAATTACTTTGTTAGTTTACTGTCAATGTTTAACAGTTGAATAATATAATACTGTTTATTGTATAAGACAGAAATAAAGTACTGACCCTATAAATAGTCACACAGTTGGATGATGGAATATGAAAATTGCTTTCGGAATCTTGCAGGAGGTTAATATTGAAACAAATCTTAAAGATATTGGTTATGAATTGACCCCTGGCTCAGGATAAGATACACTGGTCAGTAAAGTGGTGATGAACTTTAAAGTTTATTAAAAGCAGGGGCTCTCATGATCAGTTGCATTACTTAAGTTAGAATGGTCTGTGTTATAGAAAATAACTGAAATTAAATTATGGGTTAGAATAATTTTGTTGGGGCTGATAACTGTAAATAAATTTCAAATTCTCAAAAAGTATATATGATGATTTTATCATAAACTGTTCAGCTACTTAAAAAGTTCAGTATCATGGAGTTGGAAATTATATGTGCATTTTTTGCAATCCACTATTCTAATAAAAGTGATGAATAGTACCATGAATAGGGAAGGATTTGGAATGAGGTGGTTATGCCTTTATCATGAAACTATTCTAGTATTTGCCTGGAGAGGCTAAGGCTCAGATTTTCCATTGACCTGTTAAAGTTTTCTCTGAGTACTCCTGAATATATTCCTAGAGTGCTAGTGCTACAATCCTCCCATTACTCTACTATGTTTCAGCTACTGAAACCTTTGGAAAATGCAAAGAAAGAGGCCCAGTATTTGTTTTCATCCCATGCTACAAGGACCATTGTGAATATAGCTCGTTGTTTGGGAGCCATGAAAGTGTTATGCTTGGGTACTCCTCGTGTTCATGAACTGGTGTGTTCAGAGATGTCAACAGAAATGGACAGCTTGTTACTGGATATAGACTATAGATTTGTGAGTTAAACACATAGAAAAATTTTATATTTCCATAGTCTGATAGGTGCTAAGGAGCACCTAATTTTTTCATTTACAATTATGTTGTTTATTTTACAAATGTGATGGATGTCAGATCTCTTTAATCATCCACTTTCAGGTTTTGTTCTTTAAATGTCTGCATTTAAAGACTAAAGACTTGCAGTTCCTGGAGAAACTATAATGAGCTCATGGAAAGAAGTACAATTGATAAACCCCCATCACATCTCCTTTGAATTGTTAAGCTTCTGCTTCCAGTGTGCTCTCCTGTATTCCCATCCAGCCATTTTATTCACAGGAATGTAGTAGTGTTGACCTTTGTTAGTGCTAAACACGTTGGTCTGGATAGCATGAGTTAGAGCACCAACATCTCAACCTATGAGACTTCTTTCTGTGGGTTTGATATGAATGAACAGAAGGGGGTCAGGATATTAAATTACCCTAGCTCTGTGATTGTCTGATCTATTGTGTATCCCATGTCTCATATTAAGCAATATTGCTGTATTGAATGTAAAGTGCAGTACTTATTTTAAGTGGGGTTTCCTGGTATTCACTTGGTTTCATAAAGAGTGTTTCCAGGTGACAAAATTTTAATTTAGCTAGGGCCATACAGATCAACAGAACGTGCATCACTTCTAGGTGGGGCTATTTGCCAGATCCAGATAAGTGACATGTTAGTAGTCTTGTCATGTGTCAGAATTGGTTGCTCTTTAATCTTAATAGTTCTTGGTTGTTTTAGCAGAGGGTTCTAGAATTAAACCCTTCACAATGTCTTGTACAGGTGTGGACTGCCAGTTATGGTGGATAAGTATCTTATGTATTACTAAAGCAATTAATCATATAATAATAGTTAGTATTTCATAGCAGTCTGTAGCTATGCTGTCACTACTTCAGCTACTGACATTGAAATTCACTCTCGCTTTCCCTCACCTTAGTCTTGTCTTTCATCCCTATTTGCACAGCCACTGTTCATCATAAACAAATAAATATAGAAGAATGAAACAATCACCTAAAATTCAGTAACAGACACAAGGGGATCAAAAAACTATTGAGCGATAGAACAATAAATATAATCTATTTAAACTTGTTCAAATTTATTGTGTCCAGAGAAATTTTAAATGTTTATATGTCTACATTTGTTTGTTTTATAGCATCAATTCAATGCCCCATCACACTTCTGTTGGTTCAACTCATTCAACAACTATTTTTTTTCTCAAGAGGAGGGAGCACATGTTTTAGCTGAATTTCTACAGCGTGATGGTGGTCATGGAATTGTGTTAGTAATGGATCCTCCCTTTGGAGGTCGAGTTGAGCCTCTTGCCAAGACTGTTCAAGAAATTATGCAGCTTCATAGAAAACTCTGCCCTAACATTCATACAGATATGTTAGGTATGATTACCTTTAGTTGCTAGAATTTTTATAGAAATAGTACAAAATTAATTTGGGTTAGATTACCACAACAAAGGTGGGATTGGTGAGTGTTAAGATCATTTTTCTTAATCTGTTCTAACAAATTTTTCCATACCTTCTTAAGCCTAAAATATAAATATGGGAACAAATGAATGACCCCACAATCTTGTATGAACCCTAGATTGGGTTAAATAAATTATAATGTAATCAATAAAATCTTCTCAGGCAATCAGCCACGTTAACGTGGCTGATTGCCTGAGAAGATTTTATTGATTGTACTCATGGCGAGTCTCAAATCCTAAATTATAATGTGTTTATGCAAACACTGATATGTCTCAGTATTACATGTTGTGTTGCAGTCCTATGGATTTTTCCATATTTTATGGAACCACAAGTCCTAGCCAGCTGTCCAGATTTTACCATGTTGGATTATAAAGTGGATTATGACAACCATTCTTTATTTGCCTCAGGTAATTAATTAAATCTGTTATGTAATGCTGAATAATGCAGTGGGTTTGAAACAAGTATACATTAATTATTTTCTTTCTCGCGTATAATTAGGAATAGTCTCATATTAGAAACAGACTATGATTTAACACTTCAAACAACTGCCAAATGTAAAATGAGCTATTACTGCCTTGTTATAAATCTACATATTAAACATTTGTGATAATATTCCTATCTCATTCTGTGTTATATAAACTCTGCAGATGAAACAGTATAATTAAATAACCTAAGAACAAACAAATAAAATCTTTACACAATACAAAATTAATATGGTATGGACCACAATCTGCATACGTACTGTAGGACTTTTTGTATTATGATAACTTTACACTAATCATTAAAATAAAATTCATCCATTCTATCTGCAATTTCACACACTAATGCTGTACTTATTCCACCACATCTTCTCCAGCCACTGTAAGAACATGATTTTATAATATTCATGTAGTGTTAATTTAGACACATGCTTATTGTGTCCATGGGTAGTCATTCTTAAATTAATAATCAATTTTATTTCATGTTAATTTAGTCACTAACTTGAACAAGTCAAGCCCTCTTTTTTACTCCAAGCCATTATTACTTAACCTCTAGACAGAGAGAACTGTGAAATATTATTTGAGTAATTACATTTGAGAATAAATAAATAAATAAAAGTAAATGTAAGTTTACATTATCGACATGACTTCAATGTATATTAACCATTCTATAGATTCCTACAGTGCATATCTGTTAATGCATTCAGCCCTGGCCAGAGGACCATTTTTCTCAAGATACAAGTTTCTACACCCATGATTTAAATATGCCTTGCAATTTTGATATTTCAGTGTGTTTTGTACAGATAGCTCAAACTGTTCTCTCTCAGTAACATGTTATGAAAGTCTTCAACTGACACTGATGTAGACTGCAAGAAGAAATGCTAAACTATGTCCTACATGGGAAATCCCTGATTGCAGATGATGAAAAGTTAAAATTTACATTGGAAGTGCCATGGGTTTGAATGAGCTGTTTATCATTGAATAGGTCCTAAAGGCCGCAAACATGGATCTCCTGTGAGAATATTTACAAATGCAAATCCAAAAGATATTCCACTTCCAAATGAAGAAGGTTATCGATACTGTGAGATCTGTCAGCGATGGATTAGTCAAGAAAATCGCCACTGCACACAGTGCAATGAATGTTCATCCAAGGTGACCTTGTGTATTTAACACCATTATGACAAATCTCAGTACAGAAAATAATTACACTCTATGTGGACGTACTAATTAATAAATTTTATATTATATGCTAGCAGTAATTAGTTGTATAGTTAGTAGATCTTCATTTAATTTAGGTATGTCTTGAAGGTGAACTTGATGGTTCTTGTTCATATTAGAATTCTGGCCTTGATGTACAGTAAAATGTGGGGATAGGTAGGCAGCTAATTTATTCAGCATAGTAATACTCAGAAGAGTGCTACAGCCCTGTGTCTTTGGAAGGTTGGGAATTTACTTTCTATAAATCTATATTTAAGCATCCGTTTGCAGTAGTGTTACACTTACTAGTATACACACTGTCACAAACAATTCACTGAATAATTATCAAATCAGTAAATGCACATTTTACAATATTTATTGGTAACATTTAGCAGCCTACATGTTTCAAATGTCTGTCTTGCTGACTCATATCATAGACAACCTTTCACAGATGTGATATGGTGCCTCTGCTTTAATGACAATTATAGCATCCCATACAGAAAACTTTATATGTAATACTATTCTTCAACACTTAATGGAACACCTTAGAAAGATTTTTATAACAGTTCTTATTATTTTATTCTACAATAAACTCAGTTAAAATAATTGTATTATTAATTTTTAATGTAATTTTATCACAAAGCACATAGTGAACAGGTAATATAAGGGTGCTTCAAGAAATAAGGTAACGAGCTCTCCTATAAGAAGGACTTCATTATTATATCACATTACTTTTCCACATAGTTGCCACTGATGTTTAAGCACGTGTCTCACTGTGATGCCAAGGCATCTGTCCTAATGTGGAAGAAATCAGTGTCAAGTGACTTTAGCCAGGAAACAACAGGACAATGCATGTTGCCATAAGTTTCAAATCAGTCACTCCTTCAGGGATCCAGAGAGATGGAAGACACTTGTGAGAGTCAGGACTATGGCAGGTGATCCACAACCTCCCACTTGTGTCACAAGCTGTTACCTTAATTTTTGAAACACCTTCTTTGATATGCATCCTGAAAAGTTTCATGGTTGTACAGACTTATTAGGTGGCAGAAAAATTAACACCATTTGAAGTTTTATTTTGAAATTTTGTATAATGAGAACACTTTAAAAACTAAAGAAGTTTTATTGTATTCTATCTTAGAGAAACAGAACATATAACAGCATGGAATATAATTTTGATTTGTATTGGCCAATTTAAACCCCTACTTTATAAGAACAAATAAAATATTGTAAATGCTATCAGAAATTGTTGATCATCCAAAAATGACAGGACAGGTCATAAAATAAAGATCTCATTGATATCTGAAACTTTTAATAATAATAATAATAAAGAATTGAATTTTGACATGAAAATTTTTTCAGGATTGCAAATATTTAATAAAATTCAGGTGAAATTAATTTCTTTGTTTTCATTGTGATATGTATAGTGTGATGTGCTTTGCAACCATAGATATTTATTCAATTATATTTTGAATTTATGCTTAGGATGGTCGAACATATGTTCATTGTAATGAATGCATGAGGTGTGTGAAACCATCTTGGAAGCATTGTGTGACTTGTAACCGCTGTTGTCTGCCAAGTCATGTGTGTGGAGAGTTTGTTCCATCACAGTTGTGTTTTAATTGTGGACAACCTGGACACAAAAAGAGAGATTGCCCTAGATTTGGCTTTGATGCAGCTTTTCTTATTAAAAAGGTTGGTAACTTTTTCATATAGCACTGTTATCAAAATGTACATTAAACTTTCTAACTTAGTGGCAGGAGTACTTGTAGAGTTTTCTTTGAAGTGACTAATGAGACAGCCAATCAAATATTTGGCAGAATAATAGACACAAGTACATAATGGTTACACTGCACTTATGTTGAATGTTGTCCATTGTCTGATGTACATTCAATATAGAAGGAATTTCAGGAGTACAGCCAGGCAACACAACTTCTGTATTAACCCACATTAATACTATTTCATTTTATATTCTTAACATATGTGCAGGCTGTTTGAAACACAATTAACCAAACTTTGGGTTCCATAAAAGTTGGAGAATCTCTTTACTAGCTGAGCAACTGTTACCTTCTTAAGGACTGTGCTAGGTTTAAAAATCAGTACTTTCAAAATTATCATGTAAACATTCCTGTATGTGTATTACATTTTTATCTGACAAACTATTTCATCCAGAACCATTACAGAATCACTGTCACTATCAAGAGTCCTGATCTCTTCACAATATAAGCTTATGAAACAAGTACTTCTGTTGTTAATTAATATGATTTTTTTTTCCCCTCAGCAGCCTGACTGCACTCTTCAGTTAAATTCAATGAAGATGTGTAAGAAACGAAAACACACACAGAATAAGATTGATGAAGATGAAAAACAAATATTTACAAATATGTCAAGTAAGAAGCAGAAGCTGCAGAATGTCAATAGCAAAAAGTCAAGAAAAAATATTAAAAAAAGGAAGAAAAGTAAATCAGGAGCGAACACAAGTAGGAGACCAACATTACAGCTTTGATTTATACATCTTTGAGTGTGGTGTTTCTAAATGTCTTCCACTTGGCAGCACACTATAATACATCAGTCATGTATTACTCAAAAGTATGATCTGGAGCTTTCACAGTGTCTAAGTGTAATGAATTCTTCTTGGGCTATCAGCCCAGTCTGGTAGTTGGTGGTTTCTCCTTTCAACCAACTGACACAGCTGGTAGCTCAAGAAGAATTCATTATATTACTGTACAGTTTATATATACACACATGCATATGTATGTTTATATGTATGTATGCATGAATGATAAGATGAGAAACTGTTGTTTCACATTTTGGAAATATTAGTGAAACCTCTTGAAGTCCTAAGCCCACATACCCAGGAAGATAATATTATGCTTGAGTTCTGTATAAAGTATGGATGTTTCATATATTGTTTGCCATTATGATTCATGAACTGTTTCATGTTATGGTTCCAGTAAATAGAAATGTTTATGTAACTGAAGAATAAAACATATTACTGGTAGCTGTGTTCTCAGTTTCATTTTGTGATGAAATCTTAACCCTTTCCTGTAAATTAGGTCCCTTCTTACCCTATCAAAATACATCTTTGCAGTTCAGCTGGAGGATATGGAAAATATCTGCAAACTGAGACAGCTGACATGGGTTAGTCCTCCAGCTTGGCACTGGTAGCTCCACACAACAAAGGACCTAGCATGTTACTCAACATTACAATGTAATGTAGTACCAATATGTATAACAGATTAGACATTATTGTATGAATGTTAATAATTTTAATATTTTAGACTATTTCCAACCAAAACATATATAATGTCTCATTGGAGCTAGCTACAACCCCAAGCTTTATATACAAGATGTTTCAAATACACCTGATGATGAACACTACCTTATGTACAAAAACATTATGTGTTCTTTTGCTGTGTAGTGATTATAAATTGAACCACTGAGTCACAATTTAGTCGTTCACAATCTGCTTTGAATTCTGAAGGTCCTGCTTTGAGACTATGCTAATGAGACTTTTCACGGCCTTCATCACTCCCTATATATTAATGTTGGGATAGTATCTTCAGGTAGATCACTGAACAGGATTTTTTAATGGTGATGCTTTAGTTCAGATCAAAGCTGGAGTAGCTCAGTTAGTATAGTGACTGGCTATGGACTGGATGACCAGCGTTTGATCTCTGATAGGGGCAGAGGATTCTTCCTCTTGTCTCAGCATCTAGACCAGCTCTGGGGCCCACCCAGCCTCTTATCCAATGGGTACCAGGGTCCTTTCGTAGGGGTAAAGCATGGCTGAGGCATGATGCTGACCACTCACCTTCTTCTTTAGTTCAGATCATGCTTAATTTACTTTTTTCCCAGTCTGTTCAGTCTTCCAGATCAAGTTCTTATTTGTATACTACAATAGACAGCTTAGAATGAGAAGAGAGGAACAGAAAATATATGCCAGGGATAATACATCTCTGCTTTGAATTATAAGTAGCACTTTTCTCCCACACAAAACAACATTAATATATGTGTGTATGCATGTTGCATAGAATGGAGTGTGAAAGCAGAAACATTTTTACTGCTAATGGAAGTTTCATTAGATCAAAAGTAACATATATAAAACAATCTTATTTATATAAATACAACAAACATTTTATAATTAACTCTGCAATGATTATCAAACCCAGAATTTCTTGGTACATAGAAGCCTATTAATGATTAACTTTGTGTTATTTAATGATGCTGTTTCAACTGCATAAGTTTTATATCATGAAATTAAATTAAATTAAAACATAATCATGATTGTAAGATTTGAGGTTTTCACAGCGGTGAGTATTCATCGCCCTGATGACGGAGGCAGTATGACCTCTGAAACGTTGGTAAACATCGACCAGACTACACAGCACAACAACCCAGAAGACAGAAATCTTCATAATCATGATTGCTGAGTTGGTCTGGATTTCAAAGATGACTGTGACCTATTTCAAGATTTGCCTTCAGAGACAGAAGAAAACCACTAAAACTTTCAATATAACCAATGAACATACAAACTAGGTGCATTCCAAATACAAGTATAGAATGTTTGTTCTACACCATCCTGCCCAGAGGTGGATCTCTTAATTAAATGTAATTTGGTTTAAAACCAAATTATGTTTCAGTATGCTATGTGTGGCAGATGCTTATTGGAATGACCAGTCTTGTACAATTTTAAATGTTGCAAAGGGCTAACTGTCAATATTGTCAACTAGGACAAGTCACTCAGCAAAATTAATTGCTATAAGATTGATGGCTGGGGGTTTTGCTTCCTGGCAGGGATTGGGTATTTTTCTTTGCCTAACACTTCTGAACTATTTTTGGGTTTCAGTCAGCCTCCAGTAGATACTAGGTGCTTTCTCCCTGAGAGAAAAGCAGCTGTAGCATGAAGCTGACATCACTTTCAACATGTTGTGGACATCTGATGCAGGCACAACTTTATGTGCCACTTACTTTCAAATCAAGGGCTCTTGTAAACTGGGTGCTATAATGCCTGCAAATTTGTATTAAATAATTTTGAATCTGTTGTGAAAGGTTATGATAATGGTATACTACAATTAGTATTACTGGATTTCTGATCTTTATCCGTCATCTAATATTTTTAAATGATACCAAGTGAATGAGTGGGAAGTAGGTTACTTTTTTGGGTCTGTTTCAAAGAGCTCCCCTCATTCACAGTTACTGATCCAGTAATTAAGGTTAGGTTTGGTAATGGGCCCAACTGAATAGGTACTCCAAATACTTATACCTGAAAATGGAAACATCCTATTTTCAAAATCTGTTACTTTAAGAATACCAGATGAAGGACAAAGTAAAACAATCCAATAGTACTAATTCTGAATCTGAACTGAAATACAGATATCTTAATCATAAATATACTAGCTGACATAATGGTTCAAAATACAGTACAATTTTATGTATTCTTGGATTTGGTGAATCATAATTAGGATGTTATATAGTTCCATCTGTATGGTTCATCTCTCAACCCACTTATGAGGCTTTGATGAATTTTAATGTTGAGGATTTAAACTAAAAGTTTGCCTCAAAAATATAATGTTGATTCATCAATCCACCAAAACAACCACTATGTAGACAGTGTCAGTATTTTATCAGATTCCTCAAACATAGATTAATATAACATATGCCACTTTTGCTTCAAGACCTATAATGCATGGAAGAAGCAGCATATTTATTCTCTGTTGATTTGTGTATATAAGAAGGCTTGACTGTGTAACAAGTTACACACATCTTTGAGCAACGATATGAAGATGCAACTTGGAACAGCAACGCTTCTAGCTGTCTTCATCAGTTTGTGTACAGCATGCCTCATCACCAACTGCCCAAAAGGAGGCAAAAGAGCAGGAACCCACAGTCAAGAGTTACACACTATTAGACAGGTATTTTGATGTCATTTTTGTTCTTGTAATGACATTGTGTAAACCATAACATTTGGAGATACTGCTTTGAGTGACACTACTGTCACAACCTCAGGAGCTAAAACTTTTCATTAAAGTTATGGAATAAAAAGTAGAAATAGTCTTGAATGGAATATTGTTCAAACCAAGTTTCATAACATTCGTCAGTTAATTCAAGAATTATTAACAGTGGAAAGCAGCACACAAACTCAACAATACATGAACTTATACTCGTATGAAACTAACAGAATTCACAGGCAAGTGATTTTTTATTTAAAAATAACATTAACTGGGAACTTTACATGATAGGCTAGCCTGAGAATCTACAAAATCAAAGACTAAGTAAAGCTTTATAAAGTCTAGAGTGCCAATAACTTCATCTTGGTAATGGAGCAATGATATTGAATAACTGTCAATAGTTTACAAATTCAATGAACTTCATGGTGCAAGGACATTCTTCATAACTGTTAATGATCAGCTGGTCAAAAAATTCCATGCTTTTACAGAACTCAAGCCTATCACTTCAGCCTATCTTCAGCCAGGTCAGTTCAGATAACACCTTCATCCTTTACATCTAGGATGTTTCATTTCTATGCTCCAATCTATATTTCAGTCTCTTGCCTTGAAGTCTTTCAATAAAAACTTGTATGCAGTTTACATATGAACACGGATATGTTGACAGTGCGCTCGATGTGGACCTGCAAAACTGGGGCATTGCTATGGCCCTGCCATTTGCTGTGGCCCACAAATTGGCTGCCTTGTGGCAACACCTGACACTGCCCGATGTCTGAGTGAGGCTGCATCTCCAGTCCCATGTACAGCTCCCACAGGAGCCCAGTGTGGAGAAGGAAAGTTTGCTGGGCGGTGTACTGCAAATGGAGTTTGTTGTACTCATGGTAAGCACACAAAGATTAAAGCTGACCTCTTACCTCAAGGTGCTGACAATAAGACTGCATTTACCTATACTTTCACTCGCACATATCTTCACGACATTAACCTTAATTAGGCACAAGAACAACTTAACCTTTACCTTGTTAGCGTGCAACAAAGGAATGGACTGCAGACAGAAGTTTACTCATCTATTTGAAAATGTACCCCATTGGTGCAGACCCATTCTCTACAGCTACACAGATTCTGGTGCACTTGCTGTAGCTGTTCTTTGGATATACATGACATTTCTATGAGAACTGCTTCTCTGAGTTGATTGGTTTGATAGACTTCAGTTTTAAAATATTACCAATAACTAAAGGTATGAATTACAGAAATTAAGTCTGGCTACTAGATCACATGACTGCAAAAAGTACAGTCCGTTTTGATATTACTACTTGTGCAAGTAAACCAAGCTCTTAGTTTGTCCATTTATTCTATCAGTACTTGATGCTGACATTTTAGTTTTTTATTGATATGCCAGTTAGTCTTACTTTATTGACAAGATTCTGGCTAATGTTTCTGTGAGAAACTCAAACCCAGGGAAATTTTCTTCTCAGTTTCCTCTGACTCTTCTTAGCAGAGTTACAGTTCACTAGAGATTCGTATAAAAAATGTAACACACTTGTGTGAGCATGTCTTACACAGAATTTCACAAACCACTGAGTGATATGTGAATATTGCTACTTCTTCATATCACCAATGCTGACTCATCAAGATAACTTCATTCAACCACAGCTGAATAGGAAAAGCAGCAATTGATGTAGTGTTTGCACAGGGCAGAAAGACTGTGCCAGGGTACAATGGCCAAAACATTATTCTGTACTACTACCAATTGTTAAAGATTGTGGTTCAGCTGTTTACTTATCTCAGTTATATGTCAAACTACAAACTGTGCCTTGGTTTCAGAATCCTGCCATATCGACATAACTTGTCAGCTGACCACCAGTGATGCACCAGAGCTAATAGATGTAAGTGCTGATCAAACGAATCCTCTGTACAGCCTATATAGTTCATATCAGCAAGAAAACCCAGGTCTTGGACTCAGTGAATAATGTTCTTACTAAAATATTCTTCCATATATACATTTTCTGCCCAACTACCTATGAAAAATTTATAATACAAAAAGTCCTTCTCTACAGAGAATAAAATGGAAATTTGTTTTACTAACTGGCAAAGTGACTGTGCATTTATATGCAAAGGGTAGCCTGAAAGTAAGTTTTCAAGGTCTTGAAATGATTTAATATTCAATATGGATAATATGATGACTATGCATGACTTGTGAACTATTTTTCTACATTGTTCCCATGGAGACTGAAGTACTTACACATCAATGGATGAGCTTTCCTCTCCCTTGTTTTGTTACTGCTACCACATCATCAGTTTTGGCCTCCCACATGCTGCTTTGCCAGTTTTGAGCTGTTGAAGCAACATCTAGGTTTCTCAGTATTTATGAGGATTATATAGAAGAACAGTTTATGAATCACAGAGTGATATATTATATGAGTCAAAGATTCACTGGATCACTTCAAGACATTTGCTTTGTAAACTTTAGACTGTTTGTGTATGAACTTATAAGCAGCATTCTATTCTAATATTGAAAATGTTGACAGATAAACATTTCTTGTAAATTAAAGCAAAAATATTATTTCTGCCAGTGATCTGAAGCTATAATATAAAAGAATACATGATACTGTAATTATTTGTACATCCACATTATGAAAACAATGATAACATGAATCATTCGATCAATAAAAGGAATAATTAACATTGGTCTACCTTACATAAATAGGGAACCATCTATCCCAACAAAAATAATCTTCAGTCCCTTGTCCTAAATGTTTATCACTCCTGATTCATATTTGGTAAGTCTTTGGTTAATATCTCAGCCTAGAAATCAGATATACAGACAAGTTTCCTCCGTTCATCTGGGTAATGCTATCATTTGATGCTATGTAGTCTGGGCTGCTGACAGCATAATTAAAAAACCACAAATAAATAAATGACAAAACCTACTCAATTGTCTCTATCCTGCCATAAGAACTCTTCTCTTCTCTGTGTCCATTCCCTTTTTACTTTATGTATCTTCCCTTACTTTATCTTTCTACCTTGTCTTTCATGCATACAATGGCAATTTTTTCAACATATACACATTTCATGCTCTGAAAAGTATCCTATTGTCAGCCACGAGCAATACATGATCACCATGTCCTTAATTTGGCCAACTTAAGTTAAAGGTGACATGTTTTGGCCTATAAGGTCACACCATGTAGTAGAACATTAAATGCATTTCAAAGCAGTCTTCTTCCATGTATGGTGAGGGTACAATTGTCCCCAAGATAATCATACCATAAACGCACACTCTTAAACTTGGAGGAGAGCGGTCAACTTCAGGCTGTGGCCACTTCACACCTTTGGAAAGAGGCCTCTGTACCAACTGAATAACAGGCTGGATAGGCTGAAGAGCTGGTACTGACAGGTAGCAATGATAAATCATCCTTTAGATTGTGATCTACTGGACTAAAACACACTCCAAACTTTTATCTCTAGCAAAACCTCAAAATCTGATACAGAAAAATCCTTGTTCTGGCTGAAAATCTAACTTCAGTCACTTTATTGGCAAAGTCGTATACGTAAAAACTGTAGATACAAGTCTGTCTCGCACAAACACATTACAAAACTAAATGGCTGGACTAAATGTATATAAATTATTCTTTATGTATTACAGTATGTAAGTTAAAAGTGCAAATGTATTGTACTGATAAACTATGACAGATTTCAGTACTCCATATGCTTCATTAAATATGTAACATCCAACACAATAACCTCAGTTTACACAACACTATTAATTCATATTGGTGAAGATACAAACTGTACATACATTTATATAGAAACTGTTGTGCACTCACTCAGAATGGCTTTGCTCTTGTATATAAGTAGACTGTTCCTTACCATTTGCATTCTGGGGATAAAGTGGTTGGTAATCAAAAATATTCAGCATTTTTATTTTTGACTTTATTTCTGTGTAATACCTGTAACACTGAAATAAAATAAAATAATTTATATACTAGTATACAGTAGTCCATAATAGAAAAATTGAAAATTTATAACACTGCATACTAACTGCAGATCCAACAGAACGCTTTTCATTATATAATATATTTACGTTAAAGTTATATTCACCAATAAATCATTCCTATATGGCAACCCACATTTATCTGAACATAAGACATGGTCTTTTCCATAATCTGTTAACTGAAAAATAAGGGAATATATAATTATGAATAAGAACAAATACAAAACTAGGAGAAATATTTGTATCACTAATCATACAAAGCACTCAACATTCTTAGTACAGTGATGCTATCTATACTACAAAGAGGATGTCCTTTCTTTCATATATTTTCACTGTATGACAAGGTATGGTAGTAACTGAGCAGGACGCGAGCACTCGGTAGAACGTAGTGTTACTTAACAGTGCCTGCCAGACACAATAGGAAGTGGATACTATTTGATGGTGACAGAAGCAGTATGTGTGACTTAGCTAGCACTTATTAACTCAATCATGTGGAAAAGAGAGGATCTGCATAGACATAAGTTTCTAAATCAGTGCACTGTAATTATGACTCAAATTTTGAATTAAAGGTGCTGGTGGATGTCATAAAGAAGCATGCAATTTCAGCATAACACAAGCAATTTAAGCTGATATTTTATCTTCATTATTATAGTGAAGAGGAAATATCTGCTTAAATTTGTTTATTCTTTAAGAAAAGCATCTTGTGGAAATGTTTTTCTGCAAATTAAAGGTCTTCAGATCAGAGACTTATCTTACACAGTATACATATGGTAGTAATGGAATCCTTCCATAAGAAGCATTGCTTTGAAGGAAGTACATCAGATAACAGTGAAGGAATATTCTCATTTTTTCATATTCCACAGAGGATTTGTGTATGATACACAAAGGATCAGTCTTGTAGTTTTAAACAACCATCAATCGAGGTGCAATGTTCATTGCCATTAATTCCTGGAATAGCAACTTGGCAGCATACGGTAACTTCACTTGAGAGATCTGAAAGGTAAGATATACAATCAATAAATTATCTTGGTCTAAAAACTACTGAAGTATCCCCATATTAAAACTAAAGGTCACATATATCGGTGATAACTGTAGAATCAGATCAATGTAAATCAAATTCTAATAATGTCAATACTGGAAAAGACCAATTAAATATTTTGAGGAACAAATCCAAAGTGAAGGGCATTAAAAAAACACAAACACCTCCCATCCACAAACTTTGCATTTGCTGAGAAACCAACCACACGATGAAATCAACTGATTTCTGCATATGAACTAGAAAAGAATCAGTTTTCAGATTCCTAATCTTAAGAGGAAACTTGCCACTGATCTTAAAATACAAACAACCTTTTTAATGTCTTATTATGTCATAGTAACTTCTCCCAAAATGTTTAAAATCCACTTACATCTTCAGAGACATTATTTCAAGATATACATGCTACTTCCTTTACACATTATACTAATAACAACAGGACAAGAGACAATGTCACATACCTTCCAAAGATCAAGACCTGAAACACCGAATTCTTCAAACCAACAACTGTTAATGACTGTGATATATTTATAATGTAACTGTAATAACTGTTAATGTTATTATGCAACTTTATCTTAGAGTACAGATTCTGAAAATCTCTCCATGAAAAGCATTAGTGTAACGATCACAGGTGAAGAGGCTTGTTGTAGCTTATGAAAGCTTACCTGTGTTTTATTCTTACACCCTTTGCATTCAAAGGTGTTATTGCGGAGGTTGGCTATTGCTATCAGGCCACAGAAGTTGCATACATGGATTCTGTAAGGGTCAGATACTTCAAACAACCTCTCCCGTAAGAATTGCGCTGCTCCATGTGCAATCTGACAATCTCTTTCCATCTCACCAAAACGCAGACCACCATCCCTAGGGAATGTTTACACATCAAGATTACAACATTCTAAACTGTAATACATACCACAGTAGCCATCATCAAATTGCATGGACTGCACCTCCCCCTACTACATTGTTTTAAGTGAACAACAGTGCTGCTAGCTTAGCTAGACAAGTTCTGAAGTGTCCTATATGCCTGGGTTCCACTGTGTTGCAATGTATGAATTTGTTGCAACCTTCATTACCGTCATCAACATCATAGTACAGGATCTTCCCAGAGTAGTTGATAGGTAATCAGTCTGTCAAGAAATTTCCTATTTTCATGTAACAAAAAAAGTTCATCAACATGTTAAAAAAAAACACCAGTGAAACCCACCCTGAAACAATTAAATCCAGTTAAATTATAACAACCTATTTCTTTAAGCCTCATTTCAATATTATCCTCCCATTTTCATATGTAGGTCTCCTAAACGGTCTCTTCCCTTAATCTCTCCTAACCAAAATTATGTTTGCATTCTGGTTTCCCTAATGCATTACATTTATCCACACATATTATCATTCTCAGTTTAATTGCACTAGCATTATTACATATGCAGAGCATAAAAACAAATGTTGATCCTGCTTCTGGGTGCTGGAATCCTGCAGAACTGGGCTGTGTTGTCAGCATTTCAGAGCAATATACCAACTCGATCTTCAGGGATGAAGTGAGGAGTGATGTAACAGGTGATTTTTATATGAACACCATCTCCTGTTCTGAGGACCAGCTATCTGACTGCAGGTTAAAATATTTTCCTAAATGCCTGTTTTTCTTGAAAAGTGTCCAGACACAGTCTGGACAACATATCTTGTCTAATTTCTTACCTTGCTCTTCCTTCCATTGGTTGTCGCACCAAAATCTGTAAAGGCCCTCTTGCTCGGCTATGGATCTTGTCATCAACCATATGCTTCAATCTTTGGTAGTATGTTGGCCCTAAGAAAATTTGGGCATTTATCTTACGACCTGTGTGTCCATTATACATCACTTCATTTCCACGCAGTTGGTACCCATACTCCTGAAGGAGTGTAGAGATCTTCTGCACATTCACAGCATCATTGAAAGGAGTTGCATCACCAATTTCTCCTTTATTTGAAGACACCTGGCAGGGATCAAAACACAGAAATAATGACAAAGTGACATTTCTTTAAACAACTGAAGGAGTAACTTTAAGGAACAGAAAGATAAATTATGTAAGAAAACAGGCTGAATGTAAAATACATTTTTCATTTTAAGCAAGGGAAGGCTTTTTAAATTATGAAAAAAGTATTCACAAACCATGTTTAAAATACAAAGGAACAACATTCTATCATTCCATTCTTTATTAGCTCTGTCAACAACAAATCCACATCTGCAACAAATGAACATTAAGACTACATGCAAATCTTGAGTATTCCAAAAGGACATCTTTACACTCCTGTATATGTCAATATAAAACTTCAGTCCTGAAACAGATTTTTCATTTAGCTGAGCTACAGGGCCTATTCAACTAGACTCACCTTCCCCTGGAGACATTCAATCAAGTGACCAATGGTCATACGAGAAGGAATGGCATGAGGATTGATGATAATGTCTGGAGTTAGGCCTTCACATGTAAAAGGCATATCCTGGAAGAGAACAGATGTTTATTGATGAATATGTGACACCAAGAAAGGTAAAGAATTCCAGCACAGGTATAGCCCAATTCACACAGCAATTACATTCCTGGAAAACAACATGAAATGTGAAATCACATAAGTCAGAAGCTGTATCTAAAAAAAAAGACTCGATCTGTATGGTCTGAAGCTTTCGCAGTGACTAAGTATAATGAATTATTCTCAAGCTACCAGCCATGTCAAGTGGTTTAATGGAGAAAACAGTGTTTTCTCCATTAAACTACCTAACACAGCTGGAGGAGGAGGAGAAGAAGAATAGCCAGGATCTAAGTCAAGATTCAAACTGTTAACTACCTGAATACAATACAAGAGTGTTAATCCCTAAATCTTAACATTTGGTACAAAGAAACATAGTACTAGAGAGTGATCATAATTCTTATGATACCACATTCAACTACAAAGATGTAACAGATTAGCAAATAACTCCTTTCTGTTTTCAACTTTGCATATAACTATTCCACTACATTGTGTATTTCCAGTTAAATAATAATTATTTAACAACATATTCCACTTAGAGGTTATGAATCATTATATTATATCGACAGATGATTGTGCAGTAACAGCCTACTTCAAGGTACTATTCTTGTAGTTGCCCCGAAAGACCGCACAAAATAATGAAATCCCTCAGCTAGGATAGCTAGTAGCCAACTTAGACTATAAATGGGTACCTCCCACATATATTAACAGTGCTACTGTTACATCAACCTGCTCGGTGCAAAATATGGAAATAAGGTTTTGATGTTACTAACCTCTTGCCTGTACTGGATACCACATGTACCCTTTTGACCATGCCTGGAAGCAAACTTGTCTCCAATCTGAGGGATTCGAACTGAACGAACACGAATTTTGCAGAACTTGTAGCCCTCAGAGTTCAGTGTCAGCATCACTTGGTCCACAATTCCTGTTTCACTGTTACGCAGGAATGTACTAGCATCTCGTTTTGTGAATCGTTTTGTTGTGCCTTCCAACTGAAAAATCCACAAATATGAATACAGGAGGGATGGAGGTAAAGCTCCACACATTCTTAAGTTCAGCAATGGATAGGAGTGCTCAATCACCAATAAATGAGCCCAGTATTTACTGAGCGGGCAGTGAGATGTGAAAGTTATTATAGATATGATGGATAGAAAAATGACAAATGTACCCTCAGGAATCCTACTCTGGCTACCCAGCACAGTCAACCATTTTTACACATGCTTTATCTTTAGCTCTTAGATGACATAATTTCTCACTATTCACTTTCAGAGATGAAGTTAGTGGGGTAACTCACTTCTCCTCATCCTTACTAATTTAATGTTTTGCATAACTGTTCAATAAATGTATCCCCTAGACTTGTGGACAAGAAGCGGCAGTCTAGCGCAAAAAATTATAATCCGCAACAGCTCTTATGTCATGTCCATATGCAGTCTCAATATTCAGTCCCCAGATAATTGGTCTTACTACATACAACATGCCACTGTTCCACAGCCAGAACCATGTATGAGTATACAAATTCATACCTCATCTTCATTGTCTGGAAGAGTGATGGTCTTCCCAATAACAACATCATCGCCTGAAACTCTTATACCTGGTGAGATTATTCCATCATCATCAAGCTTATCATACAGAGCATTTCTCATGCCCTGTAATGAAATGAAATAACCAAATTAATCCTTTTCTCATTACCAACATGTTCTATAAATAAATAATGCATAAAAGAATTGATAGAATAATAATATTAAACTAGATTTAACAGAAATAGATTATAAAAGTTTTAAGTTTCTCAGCTGGTAAAGATGAGGTTTTGGGTTCTATAATAGAGAATCTTTTGATCAGATATCTACAGCCTGAGACCCTGCTCAATAAATTTAGTCAGTTAGTTAACAATATTAGTTGGAAAGAACAATATCTAAATTACATGCACCACATGTAAAAAGAAAGTTTAAAAGCAAAGTGGGAAACTATTCAAACCAAAACAAAGAAAATACGCTTTATAAATTAATCTAAAAGCACCAGTCCTTGAAGCAAAATTAAAATTATGTTAAGACAAACATGCCAATGAGACCACTCATATATACAGTGTATACACAAAAGAATGATGCAACTGTGACTGGTGACTCATTTTTGGACATGTTGGAAAGCTGGTTGTTACCACAACTGAACACCAATTATGACGATTACATTCTACAACTGGACGGAGCTCCCCCCCATTTTCACAGGAATGTACGAGTGCTTCTCAATCGTGTTCTTCCACAGCGCTGGATTGGATGAGTTTGATTACCGTGTGGATGTGTGTCGTGTGACCCAGGGTGCACACATTGAAGGAAGAGGAGAATTGAGGAGGCCATGGACCGAATACGGACCGGAGAGTCATAGAAGAAGTGTCTTATGAGAAAACTATGATAATACCTTAATAATCTAATCTGTGTCATTCTCATTCATAATGCCAAAGATCTGTGGTTATCCCATAAGCTTCCAGTGACTACTTATTACATGTTAATATGCTTTGAAAACTCTACAAAATATGAGAGTATATTAATATTTAATAGCATTCTATAGACTGCAAAAACAAATACAAATTTAACAATTCCCATACAAATTATTATATTTGATGCTACCAATGATGATGGCAGAAAAGCCAAAAAAATATCAAATAATAATAGAAGAATTTTACAACAAATCACCTCATATGACCTATGAGTAAAACTGAGTTTTCATCTGATGAATTATGAAATATGTGTATATGTATTATAACTATCAACTTCCTGTACAGGGTCTTCTTTCAAAAGCAAATAGTTACTCAGTTGGTTAACGAGTTCCCTGGAACATTGACTCATCACTCTGTTCACAAAAAGCCAATGAATGTGGATATCATCGAAAACAAACTACTACAAACCTGGCATGTGGCCCTAGTAGGTTTCTCAAACTGTTCCTCTTGATCACCAATCCGCTTCGATTCTGCATCCTTATATGAACGGAAAAATACAGATCTGGAGAAAAGCAAATGTTGGTAATATGACAACATGAACAGAGATCCCAGGTTCAAGTCAAAAGTCATCATCAATGGGTAACAATGGTAAAACTTAATGGTTGGCTGACTAACATATTCCATGACGCAGGATCTTTCAACAAATGAATCTTTAGTTACAATGTTATTTTAAGATAACATATGTATACATAGTATTTTAGACAGTATAAACATACAGCTATTTAAAAATCTTTGAATGAAAAAATTTTACCATGAGGCTCTCTGACTTGCGGTCACCTTGCAGGATCCCACCTGGTCCCAAGTACACATAACTGTCCACTTTTGCTTTAGGATGTTAGCATTACAAATTTTCTACTACTGATCTAATGGTATACTGTAGTTTTACTACATAACAACTGACTTCAGATCCTTCTAGGTTGAAGGTTATCAGGGAACTCAGCCTCACCTGAAGAAACCTCTTTCAACAGCAGAAGCATTCATGATGACACTGTCTTCTTGATTATACCCTGTGTAGCAGAGAATGGCTACAATGGAGTTGATACCAGCGGGTAACTCTCGGAAACGCAAGTATTCCATGGATCGTGTCGTGACCAATGGTTTGTGTGGATAATACAGTACATGTGCCAGTGTGTCCATTCTCACATGGAAATTGGTGATATACACACCCATAGCTTGTTTTCCCATAGCACTCTGTAAATAAGAACACAAAAATTTAACTGTTAGTCAGTACAGAATGACCACTGTTAGCTGTGTGGTAGTAATGAAAATCACATGACAAGAGTTTAATCAATCATTGTCAGTCAGTCTTCGATATTTATGTTACCTGCTTTTTCTAGTACCTTTCACATCTCAACACAATTTTCAGAGAAAATAAAGTTATTTGAATGGTTGCTGATGAATGACTCTTGGGTTGTAACACTATGTGGACTTGATAGGTGTCCACCAATGGCTGTCATAACCTCATATATAACAGTTGTTTCATATTAGTGGTCTTATTTTGTTCATAGAAGTGGAAGATAAATGACCCCAAGTGTAAGATTTTCAACAGATAAAAGGACCATGCTATGACGGTATATAGGAAGTGTGTAGATAACCTCCAGCACTCTTAACCTCAGCACTAGATGTTCATCACTGGCATTATACATTTACTTTCACGACTCATCATTTCTCAAAACAGCAATAAGAAATTTTCAAGAACAGTACAAAAAGTCAAAAGTGACCAGTTTCAACATGTTTTTATGTTTCATATCAATGCGGGATTTCTCCTTTTCTGCGTATCATCAACAAAACACAGTACCGAAATGTCCTTTCACTTATTCAGTGACTGAAATTACTTATATTGTTTCAAACATTCACACAAAATTTCCACTTAATCCTCTGTTGCACCATTTAAATGTGCTGTATCCTGAACCCTTCATACCATTTAATGTAAATGTCCTTTATACATTACATATTACTATTTTAAGTGCAGAAAAGGGTTAAACCTGAAGATGGTCATAGTAAACCTCTTGTTAATGAATGTAGCTGAAACAACTTTTTCTCCATGAAAGTAGCTATGGCAAATCAATACAAATTAGCTTTCTGAAAACTCCATTTAGGAACATTCTGACCAGTAACCACTTTGCTTCAAAGATTTTACTATTGAGGGAGTCTGAAGATTTCCATTTTGAGAGATGCTCATACACCATCTCTGAGATTTTCATAGCTGTGGTCATGGTCTTTTGGATTATGATACTGTGCAGTCTTGAAGATGATAACCAGCATTACGTAATGTCTCTGGGCTGTAAGTGTAATACAAGGAGTTAAAATGAAGAAGACCACAAATCCAGAACAACTGAACAATTATTATGACAGCTGGTAGATAGCAGAACCTACGCAAAAGTAGATACTGTAGCACAGCAGTGTTGAAGGAGCTCCAACAACAGACCCAGTGTAACAATGAACTGTTCAGCAATCACAGAGAATCATTCTCCATAACCGGTGATAATCATTTGCCTGTCCCTAATTCCTTTCTTTCCAAAGGGCTGGTTTTCTGGGGTATTGAATGAAGTGTGTGTGTGGAAGGGGGGGGGGTCCTTTCTTGGAGGTTTGCTTGTGACATAATGTCACTCTCTCAGGAGACGTCAACCTATCCAGGTAATTATTTGTTGCAACTTGTTCAACCCCTTGGAGGTCTGATGAAAATTATATTTTAAGTTCTTGTGTGTAACTGCTATTTCCCTTTGGTTTAATAGCATACTAGACCTCCATGAAGTATAGGGGCTGGGTCTATTAAAAATAGGGTGGGTGATTGAAAGTTGAATATATTTTAATTAAATTAGTTTGATTTCAAGAATATATTTGTTACAATTTATCTTGGCTAAACTGAGCTATGTGCTCATCCTTCCACTTCATTCTATATCAAATTATCTTGACCTGAACCTTCCCCTTCAACATTAAACATTCAACATTTAAGCTGGGGCAGTTCAACACGAAGTCAAGCTCGCATCAATGATGGGCTAGGAAGGGTTATGAACTGTACAACAAAAACATACTCATACCTGGTAAGTGTTCCTGGGGCTCTGATTATGATCTGGGAAAGGGATGATGGATGCACACACTCCCAAGATCATAGCTGGGTGAATTTCACAGTGTGTGTATGTGGTACAATATGCATATTCCTTGTCTTGCCTCAGATCATCTGGTGACATTGCAATCATTACTGTTTCCTCTTCTAGGGTGTCTATGTATTCCACTACACCACTAGCTACCAATACTTGCCACCTGCATTAAAATATCATTCAAGCAATTCTAAAGACAAATAATTTTCAGTCTACTTCCCTTATTTTATAAGGGAAGATCAGATTACAGTAACATTATATTCATATGTATGCTGTATGCCATCAGATCTGTACTTATCAATTCTATATTATCAGGATTACCAGCATGATGGCCATGCAAACCTAAGTAAAAGTGTGTTATTAATGCAAGTTAATGGAGGGTCCTAAAATGTGGTATAACAACATATCTGAAAAATATGCAACTTTTGTTCTGATTATATTTGTGTTGAATACAAAACAAAATGATGACCATAAAGAAACTACATTTAAATTGTAATTTGGTAGCACTAACTTTTAACATCAGCTAGGCATGTGAAATTTGGTATTGAGAGAGATCATAAATATATCTACAATTTCTACAGATGAATATGAACATACAGACAACAAACTTAAGTACAAACAATAACACAATCTTCATATTCAACTAAAACAAGAGTACTGATCATGGTTTTCATGACAACATGGTAAAATCTATACTGGCACAATGTACCAACAAATAAGCAGTTAACAGCAAAATATATGTGTATGTAAATGACAGCGAGTTGAATGAAATATGAACAATCTAACTTTACTTCTGCTTAGATGCACATAGATTTACATCTTCTTGATCTTATGACAGCCACAAGTACTGCTGTATTTGGTTATTCAGTGTCATTAATTTTAGATTATAAACTGTAGAATTTTCAAGACATGGCACAAAACAGTCTACTTTTACATAGTCATGACACTGAGAAGTGTGTAGCTTGCAGCTCTCCTGTACAATCATATTTTTTCATGGCATAAAGAGGTTCTGGACCATTACTGAAAGTATATCATTGTTACATAAATGTTACCACTTCCACAACCTACAGCAGTTGCCAGACATTTTGTGCGCTGTCAGCACGGGGGCAAGCAGTGAAGAGAGGACTATGTCCATCAACATACATTTCAAAAACATGATCTCTTCCATTACCCCCATACTTCTAGCTGCATGTGGTACCAAGACTTGACTTCAAGAATAGTGGTGAAGCATGCCAAGGAAGACAGAACAGAGATATTCACAGAAGGATCATGAAATAATTAGAACAGTCAATATACAACGTCCGTGTTTTTGAATCAGCTACCACAGCATGCTGAAAACAGTGCAGCCGGGAACTAGGAAGCATAGATCGGATTTGGTGACTACGGTACACTTACCTACCCCTCCCTTCCTCAACTCTTACGGTCATAAAGCCAACGGGTAAGCAACACTATACCAGTAATCACAGTCATTGCTTAAATCACTTTCACCCACAAATAACATTCAATGGAATTTTTATGATGCAAAATTCACTGGACAGCTCATCTCGACTTGTTTTAAGTATTAAGTAAATAATCTATTCACATACATTATGACTGTCCCATTACTTAAATAGTATTTATATTTACAATTACTAATAATGAAACTGTACTCACCCATAATTGTTATATTCTCTTTCCTTCAGCATATCAATATGTCTTTTCTTCAGAAGCAAGTTACCCCCTTCCACAATTAACAAAGGCCTACATATCCGTCCTGCATCTGTATAGATTCTAATTTCACGATCCCGTATGTCTCGGATCATGGATACTTCACTTACAATAATATCCATCTGCCGTCGCAATTTACGCAAAGTTGCCATCAACTGTTCTGGGTCACGATGGATACCAACCTGAAAACAGTTTTATCATTTTTAAAATATTGGTACTTGGAAAAATAATAAAAAAAAAACACAAAATAATAGCACAGAACACTATTTAACAATAAAACAGAAGGACTAGCCTTCCAAATCAGAGTCACAATGTAAGGTCTCTCAATTTAAACACACTTTTATTTAAGGTTAATGATATAGTAGATAAGTCACATAGAATCGACGAGAACAGATATACATGGCAAAGAGCAAGAGGAGAGTCAAGGAGGTGCTGAAAAGAAGATTCTAAAACCAATACAGGTATTAAGACATTTAATTCAAAACCAAAAGATGTCACAATGAAAGTTTGTCATTCTTACGTATTCTGAAACTGAGATTGTAAGCATCCTTTTGAGAGGATGTACAGAACTATTAGTGGACAGAAACGTTTCTGCTACTGATAACATTGCATTTACCTTACTAAATTATATACTAACCCAGCAACCATTGACAAAGATTTTAGTGGCATCAGCGATTGCTGAAGGTGCTATTTCTTCCAAGTTTTCCATACTCCATTCTTCTAAGAACTCAAGGATTGGTGATGGTTGTGACCCAACAGAGATGTAAGCCATTAGGGCCAAGTTTTTCACTAAACCTGATGGGACAAGACAAACATTATGGGACAACAATAATAAGTACCTTAAATAAAATTTCAATATAAATGTGTTAATGGACATAAGTTTTAACTTGAAAGGAGATTGGTTATTGTGTTTTAGGACAACTGATGAGTATCCAGTGAGATAGAGTATGACAGTAAATCAGGGCTGGTGGAAGTGATCATTGCCTTTTAAGGACTATCCTGGAATCTGCCTGTAGGGAATAAGGAAATTATGAACAATTCAACCAGGATCAAAATTGTATATGAGTCACCTGCAATACTATTATGGTAACCTGCAAAACAACTTGAATATACAATTACCATCATAAGTTCCAAATCATTACGTCTAAACAACTAAATTCTTCCTGAGAAAATAGAAAGAAGCCACATTTGATGGTGCAGTAAGTTCAGGCTTAATGCCAGATTTCTTTAAATAATTCTTTAAAGATATTATAATTATTAATTTATTAAACTGCAACTGTTTTGGCCTGTACATTCCAGAAATTTGCTCTACTCTGATCTTCTGGCGACTGGATATCACAGTAATGACAAGTATTTTCATTCATTTTTGTTATTGGCAGCAATCAGAATTGAAACATGAACCCTTGAATGAACATCCTAGCAGTAGGCATAAAAACTGCACTAGCACATAAGACATTCCACATAAAGAGGAAGATAGAGAAGTATTGTGTCTGTATGTGCATGTGTGTGTGTGTGTGTGTGTGTGTGTGTGTGTGTCAGTATACTGACAACCAGTCATCTGTAAAAAGAAGTGTCATAATGGACAATCATCAACCACTGATGTACTTGTAAGAACAAGCTGTTTTAATACAAAGCTATTTCCATTCTTCTGAATCACCTTATAAGCACACTTTCAAGTACACATTGATGTCCTACTCTCTTTTAAATTTCATTAAACTTAGCCTTAATCTCCTTCTTGGTCATTCAACCAACATCCTCATGTCAGAGATGAGAAACACACGTCCATACTACCTTATCCTTAATTTTGTCAACAAAGAATAATGATGAATATAAATGCAGCATAAAAAGCCTTAAGTTACAATATATAGATTTATGAATATTAAGTAACTATTAATATGAACAGAATACCTCTAAGAAATCAAGTTGCCAGTATGCAAAATTAAAATTAGTGAAAATCATACTAACCTACAGCAGCACCCTCTGGTGTCTCGGCAGGGCAGATCATTCCCCACAGTGTGTTATGCAGTTGCCGAGGTTTCGCTAGTTTGCCATCACGACCTATCGGTGAGTTCACTCGCCTGAGATGTGATAATGTTGAAGCAAATGTCAAGCGGTTCAACACCTGCAAAATTAAGTGTTCGTGGCTTACAAAATATCATCCCCTGTAAGAACTCCCTATCATGTACAAAGTTGAAGAGCTCAGAAAACAAATTCTTCTATATCATATATATACTGGGGACTATAAAACAACATTTACAGCAATCAATTTTATTGAAGTTGAATCAACTACAAGACAGCATCTTTGTACTCACCACCATGACAACATCAAATCCTATTTAATATTGTGCTAATCTGTCACCGCCTGTACTCTCTTACCTGAGATACTCCAGCACGGGCCTGATGCGCTTTCTTCTGATCTCCCCAGTTGCCAGTGGCCAATGAATATCGCAAACCATCTGTTATAATCTTTGTTTTTATTGCCAGTTCCAAGTTGAAATCTTTCCCACGGTCAATAAATTTCTGGGCATATAAGCGCACTTCTTTCATTAGATTCTTAAACAAACTGGAAAAGACATACATAATGCCACTTACATTACAATCTCTTTAACAAAGACTAAATATCCATCCAGTTATTATGAGGATAATTCATCATGAATAACATTTAAATTTGGAGTATACAGATTTTCTGAATACATTCTTTGAGATTATGAATCCCTCATTACTCTTGATGTTGATTTACTGAATACAAAAATTATTGCTGCAAAACCTATTAACAGTAATTATAATATATTACATAGCCACAAATTACTTTCCCTTATAATTGATTACATATACACATCAACAAATATTTCAAACCAAAGTTTTGGATTTTAATGAGAACCAATACTTCATATGATGAGTCATGTTTGAAAAAATGTAAAGTTTAAGATTTATGTAAAGTAGAAGACACATTGGATATACAGTATCCAGTATAAGCAAAATTTCAGAGACATTCACCAAGAAGATTCAGAGAGTAAACGGATGGGTACGAATGACACCCTCACATTCCATTTATCTTATCACTTCAAGCAAGCAGCATGTAAAAATTATGTTTATCACATTTTAAAATTAAAATAAATTCAATGACATTTTTTGGAATCTTACGATTATTCAGGTTATACTAAGACTGCAGAAATAAAAACCATGGGTGGAAGAAATGGTGCTTGAATCTTCCCTCTTGCCACCTACTGGAATATTCATTCCACTCAAGCCTCCTCTGGTTATATCAGCCAGCCAAAGCATTTATTGCTTGTGAAGGTTAACACTACAATCATTACAGCAAAAAGAATAGACTGGTGTGAAAAACTTGACAGGGAAGTGTAAAAGCTTGAAGGGTATGTGGAGTGATCAAGCCATGGGAATTCTTTTTGCTGCCACAGCATAGATTGTTGAATTAATTATTCCTTTAACAATTAATTGGTTAAAATGCACAAATCAAGAACACACAACTTTGAAAAGCAAAATAAATTGTTCACAAAATATATGCCACCAAGCTCTTTGCATATATTCTTTGTGTTACAACCTAAGTTAGTAATTATAACATAGGTTCTCGGGTCAACAACTCTGTAATTCAATTAAAATTAAATCTGTAAACAAGTAACAGACATGACTAATCTGTACGTACCCTCTGAATAGAAAAGCAAGCAGAGGACCAGCTAGATCTAATCGCTTATTTCCATAGTGATCTCGATCATCAAGCTCCCGACGACCCAATGCAGCCAACAGTAGTCGATGAACCATATACCTAATTAAGTAAAACAGTCTTTCAATTACCCCCTCAATTTAATTGCAAAAGATGAATTTTGAAATGTGTTATACCTGCTGTCATGCACGAGGTACGAACCATACTACCATGACCTCAGGCACAAAACAAAAGACAAAATTATCACACAATTCTACTGGGGAAGAGCCACTGGCATCCACTGAGTAGGAGACAGAATATGCCCCTGAGCTGGTCTGATTATAGTAATATAAAAACAATTGTTTCCTCTGTACCTAACCATCATGCCATGAAGGCATACAGTAGGTGAGAAGGCAAAGCTCCATGCATTAACCCCAGCACTACATGAGGGTGTATAGTAGACTGGGTAGATTCCAGAGGTGGTCCACATGTGAAAACATTTATGCCACCTACAGGAATCAAATCCCAGTCAGACATCCTACAGCAATTCATGTTACATAGGAAAACTCAAACATTCCTATCCATACCTGGAGTAGAACCCGTTACCTGGTCTACAACTAGTTTCTTAACTGACTAGGACATAAAATATTGATATTACGTCAGTATTTACCTATAGTATACAAACACAGAATTAACATTTTGTAATACACAAAATGAGGAAATAGAATTATATGCCTCACCCTAAAAAATAAGCTTTTTTGGTTTCACAGAAATCTGACACCCCCACATGAGGCAACATTTCCTTTTGCAGAATTTCCCGAGCATATTTTATACGTTTGTCCTTGGTAACACCAGGACGGGCACCTCTAGCACCAATAAAGTTGAGAGCCACATTCTGTTCTTGAATCACAAATGCTTCGTCTAAGGATGGCTTCACCTGCAACAATGTTTCAGAACTGGCAACAGAGGGTACACTTGTTAAATTCACATACACAAACAAATATATAATATAAATGTGTGTATGTGTGGTATTTTAAATAATTAAGTGATACAATAAAGAAGGTATCAATTTAGACAAATTTTTACAAATAATAATGATTTAATAGTAAAAGAAGTAAATACATTTATAACTTAAAGAAACATCTTACAGGAAAAGCTAAGACAGAAATATAAATTAGACAGGCAGCAAGAAATCGGGAGTTAGATGCTTAAAGAAGTTACAATAGTTTGGGTGTTAAAATAGTTGCAATAGTTTGAGTGTTAAAAAAAAGGAACATTAGAAAAATAAGTTGCGAAATTCTGGCACTACAAATTAAAGACAAAATAACAAATGATGCTCCCAAACACAGAATACTTACTCAAGAGATTTAAAGGTATGGACCAAAAGAATGCATTTTGAAAATGTGATTACTCCTTTGTTATAGCACACCTTTCCAACCTACTTCTGTATTGTTTATGGAAATAGCTGGTAGTCACACTTAAGAATCCTTATTCTAAAGTCCCTTTTTCTCTCACTACGAATGAGGACCTTACCATTTCCATCATTTCTGGATCATCAAAGTCATATATAATGTGTTCCAAGATGTCTCTATCAGCCACAAAACCAAGAGCTCTGAACACAATCATGATGGGAATTTCTTGCCTGATGTATGGTAAAATGGCTATAATACGTTGTCCAATAGCTGACTTTTTTATACTCTGAAAAAAATGAGTACAGTACTTATTAAACATTTTATAGATCCCATCATTTAAAAGAAGTACTCACATGGTTCTTGTATGTATATTTTTAAGCTTTATGCAATGGGAACAAGTCAACATTAAGGGCAGACAAAACTTAAGAAATGCTTGCTACCATTCAGTTCAGAATCTTTAGTCTTCCTGTTTGCTATCTAAATGCAAACAGATTAAAATATCCAATATCATAATTTTACCATTACTGTGTATAGGTGTAAAACTTGGTCCCTCTAATTAAGGGAAGAAAATTTGATTGTTGGTCTTTGACAAAACAATGCTGAGAATATGTCGACCTAAGAGAGAAGAGATTAGCAAAGCTTGCAGTATGTATGGGGGAGATGAGAAATAAGAATGTTACATGGTTAACAAGAAGAGAATAGATTATTTGTGAGACCTGGGCATAGATGAGAGAATAATACTGAAATGGACTGTACACTATTAGTGTGATGTCAGAGAGGATTCATTTTACTACAGGACCAATGGCAGGATCTTGTGAACACAGTAATAAAATTTTAGATTTCATAAAATACATGGAACTTATTGATTACTTCAGTATCTATTAGTTTCTTAAGTAGGCCTCTGCTCCACGGAGTTAATTAGTTATACTGTACCTGACCACCTCTAGCCATCATGTTAACCCAAAGAGTAGAAGTTGGGCGTGAAGAATGCTCAAGACAGGATCGTATCTCAGCTTTGAAAGCAAATTTTCCATCTTTCATACTGAAAACGTACACTGTATTAGTTGCCATCTTCTCCTGCGCAATCAGCACCTGAAACAGCAAAAATTAAAAAATTTCTATACATTCTAATATGCCTTATTTATGAAAGCTTAACCTGTCACTGAGCATAAGTGACACCTTTTTCATGGTAAGAAAATTAGAGTATATGTTACAGATATGATATGACCTGCATATACGTCATATATCTATTTCTGAACTCAAACTTTGGAATTAAAAAAAAACAGAAAGAAAAAATGTACTGATTATATGCCATAGGGGAACTGCCAGATATCACTAGCGTATTAAATTTAAGAACTAATACACCAGGCAACCAGTGCAGTTCTAAAACATGAAAAGGTTTCCAAAGTACAGAACCAAGAATCTTATGTAACAAAGAAATCCAAACTGTCAACTTTGGTCCAAAATTTTACACTATATGTCATGTAATAGACAAAATGCCATGTGCATACCTGAATGCAATGAATGTTAGATTACATACCTTCTCAGAACCATTAATAATGAAATATCCACCTGGATCAAGTGGACATTCATTCAATTCTGTAAGATCTCGATCTGTAAGCCCATTTAGCAGACAATATGTAGACCTCAACATGATTGGAATCTTTCCTACAGGAAAATTAAAAATAATAGACGAATTAGTAATAAGTATTTCTTATATTACATAACAATTAGGTACTTAAGAATAAACAACACATTTGTTACTCCAACTCTGACAAAGTCATTACACACACAAACAAAAATTTCCTATGCAATTTTCCAAAAGCAAATGGTGGTAAAGTGGTGTATTCAAACACTCTGAGGACCATTAATCCTGCAGGAAAGATAACAATTGGAAGACCTAGGCATATATGGGAGAATAATACTAAAACTGGTTTTTAGGAAAACAGTTTAAGTATATGAATTGGATTCATCAGGCTCCATAATGTTAGTTATGTTAGTTGAGGATCATCAATGCATTAATGTATTCTCAATTCCTTTCAGACATCAATGACAAAACTTTCACTGTCAACAACAGATAAGCTGTTTTTAACAACTGAGCTGTGTAATCTGTATTAGTTCCAATATTTCCTGTCTAAATGACATATAAGAACAGGCATGTAAGAATAAAGTTTAGTGACATCATGATGGTGAACTGTGGGAGATTTCTAGTTACATGAATGTTAAAGTAAATTATTAATTACTTGCAAAGAGTGATTCTAATCACATCATGTAGTTAAGAGAAGACAAGCTAGTGCTAATGTTCTTTAGACATTCCTACACCCCCAGTTCTATCATTCAAGTATGTGAATTAGTTCAGGAGTTATATGTTACTTGTGGAAAGTTGTCTTCCAGAAAGTATCTTGGAGCTACAGGTAGGATGAGCAATTAGGCAGGTCTTCCCCAAAAACACTTATATAGATACCATATTTCTTTTTTAAGAAACACCAAGCACTTGTTTTCCAAAACTTCTCTGAAAATAAGTTCTGTACAGTATTCAAGGACTATGTGCTGCAACACTTTGAAATCTATGCTGAAATCAATGTGGCCATAATTTGATCTTAAAATAATGATGTACAGTGTACAACACATCAGATCTTAAAATAATACAGTACAATGTGTAACACATCAGATACTTCAGACAATGTTAAAATATAACCTAAGTTTGACATTATGTTTAGAACAAGCCACATGCATAATAAAACTTCCAAAGCTGAGAATATGAGAATACTCAAACACTCAAGCAGAAGCAACTTTCTTCAAGATATTACAACCATATATGGGTACACAATGACACACTAACCTATAAATGTCTTCTGATGTTGAGTTTCTATAGGTTCTTCTCCATCTTTAAGAATTGTTTTTGTAATATCAACATAGAGTGGAGCTGAGTATGTTAGGTTTCGAAGACGAGCCTCATTTGGCATCATTGGTGATGGGGCACCATCTTTTTCCCAGTGTGTAGGCTTAGACAAATAAATCTGTTCAAACTTCAACAGATATCGAGGCTGCAAATGAACCAGATCTGAGTAAAATCCATTATAAACTATACAAAAGTTCAGCAACATTGACTTAAGCCAACTATGAGATGCATGGCCACCTGATCACTTATTGCAACATGCAGGCTAAACAGAATTGTTAGATCAGCTGTAGAGGTTAATATCAAATGGAAAGTGAGGGGAATCACACCTGGGAAACTGGAAAAGACTGGGAAGTTTGCATTTGTGGCCTATTTCAAAGTAATGGAAGGTCTGAAACAAGTCAATAGGGTTACTACAAGAAAATCCAGACAAGGCACAGAAAATGAGTTATATTTCAGGAGTCCCCTAAAAAAACATGTTGAAACATTAACAAGGACAATCATGTCATTCAACTGCATGACAATAGTGGAGTTACATTTGTTCATAGTGTCATACCAATACCACAATTCACCCCGAGATAGAGAGAAATAAACATACAGGATTTTCAATTTCACCAGATGTATGCTGGGCCTCAGCCTGAAGATCAATCTGTGGTGAATCTTCAACAATACGCTGGACTGACATTTGTATAAACTCATCAAATGAATCCAGTTGTTGTCGCACCAAACCTTTCTCATCAAAGTAGGCATTGATAACAATCCAACAAGCTTCTTGCCACAATTCAGAAGATATCTCTTCAGCATCATCTTCTTCATACTGATCTGTAAGAAGCCATGGTGAAAATATTAAAACAATAAATATAATACAATGGCCATAAAGTGGAAACATCTTAGAAAGCTGAAACGGCGAGTGAAAAGAATTAGCACAAAGGACTTATACAGGTTATGAATATTAAACAGTCCTCTACTTATTTATTTGGCCTGATTTATCAGACGACACGAAGTCTGCTGAGTGAAGAAGATAATGCAGATGAATATGAGAGGTGGATTAAGAAGAATGTGGAAGTGGTCGTGGCTTGTATATGATTAAATATGAGGGAAAGTAAATTAACAGAAGACTGTCAGGGCAGAGTTCTATATATGATTTGGAGATGGAACCTCCGGTATACAATACACCACGATGTTCGGTATATAACTTCTAGATATGATTTGGAGATGGAACCTACGGTATACAAAACAATACACCACGATGTTCGGTATATAATGACAGATTACATGGATTATTCGCCACATGCGTGAGCAAAACGGATATTATACACAATCTAAAAAACTCCTGGATACACCTTACCTTCGTCATCATACATTCTCTCAATTCACAATTGAAGAAATGAACGCTACTACACACCACCACTCACATCAAAACTATCTTCGAAACACATATACCACAGATAAAACCTACATATAACTGCGACTTGAAACGACCACATGCACAGATATACCAATATGATTACAAATTATTTTTAAATATGGCAAAGAAGTGAAATTAAATTGCACTTAGGACTGTTATATATCTATGTAAGAGAACAGACCTTACATGAATAAAACAACTGCAACTGAAAGAACTAAACTCATCTATTGCACACACACAAACACGACATATCGTTGATAAACACAAAGGCTATTTGTGTGGTGTAAGCCAGGTTGGTCCAACTTTCTTCCTCCCTCGGGTCAGAATAGTTTTCCTGTTGTCACTATTTTTGCGTTGTCCTTGTCTTTAATAATACTTATTCAGGAATAACAAATTATCATTGTATATGCTGAAATATAAATTGTATTTAAATGTCCACAAACTACTAAATTTGCTCCTAAAACAATTATTTTTAATAAATTGGTTGTACTAACTAGTAAAAAAAAAATTCCTTCGCGGGCCAGATGCGGCCCGCGGGCCTCCAGTTTTATCACACTGGTATAGGCAGTGGTCAGACGGTACAGACTATCCACGCCGCACTACGACAGGTGCCATCTGTTTAGGGTACCAAATTACATTCACATCTCTATTTGGTTTCCATAGCTCAGTCGTCATAGCAGGTCTCTCCTATCCGATTATCTCTACACAGTGATACTGAGCACCAACAAACTTCATAAATAACTAACTCCATGGAGTAAAATACTTACTGACATTATTATTATTGTTATTATTATAACCCTAGTTTTCGCAAATCCAGTTCAATATTGTCCTTCCACCTCTTTTTCAGTTTTCCAAGTAGCTACTGTCACGGAGGATTTACCACCAAAACACCTTATATATTTCTTACATTATTCATCTAAGCTATGTGTCCTGAATGTTATAAACTTTGTTTAACAATTCTGATAGTCCTAGGTCACCTGTTTCCATCACTTAAATCCTTGTTTAGTAATGCCATTATTTCCCCATTCCATCTCACAAATTTAATAATGATAACATTGCTAACTTTTTTTAATGGCAAGGACAAACAGTAGAGCTTTGATGTCTAGCAGGTTTTTTATATTCAAATAACAGTGCTTCAAAATGTTACTGTTTATACAGAAGGCTTAAAATTACAGATTTGAGCAATTTGTTGGTCATAACATGACTAGCTTTTGTTGTTTTTCCACATTTATTTTAAACAATAATATCCAACAGATTGCTAAGATTTGCTCACATTTGTCTAAAAGCTGTAAATGCTGCTAAATGAATGGGAAAAAACAGAGAAGATAGGTCTATGAAGAAACTTGTAATTTTGGCTCCAAAATATCCAACAAACATTTGACGGGGTTTATGTGTTGGAGAATTACAGTTTGTGTAAGTGTGTGCAGTTTTAACACCACATATATAACGTTTTATGTTTTGATATTGTATTATTCTCAGCAACCCGTTAAACAATACTTTAATATTCGAAAATCCTCACTTTTAGCTTTGAAAAATACTGACAGAAAGCCATAGCAAGTAAATATTGAAAATATTAGGAAAGAAAACATAATAGCAAAGTCATGTTTTGTGAATGAAAAGGTTAAATAGCACAAAGCAAATAACATTTAAGATTTGATTTGAAAGCTAATTTATCACTCAAGGTATATGAAGATCCAATTTTATTACCATATACTATTCTCTAATATATGTGAAAGGTTTGGTATTCATGTTTACCTTCCCTTACATTATCGAAAATAATGCTCTGTGCTTCAATGTTGACTCATATGAGGTCGTAAGTAGTGTTGAACATAATCGTTTATTTGAATAAATATTAAAGCAATATTAAATGTAAGAAAGACCATTTTAGATTAATTTCATGTAGGATTCAGCATTGCAGAGAGACAGTATACATTAAAGTTTCACACTAATGCAATGAAATGACTCAGGTTCTTAGCATGTTTTACAATTTGCACTTTCCTTTCGTTCTAGAGGCCAGGGCATGAAGCTAACCACTCACTTCAATCCAGTGCTGAGGTTAAACAAGCATGAAGCTGTACGACTGGCCTGTATGTTCTGGTAAAGTCATGGTTAAACAGTCACAAGAATAACAAGCTGTTTTACCTATTATTGTAATAGTGATTACTGACTGAAGGGCAAGGTATGTTTAGAACCAAGCGATACCAGGAAATCCTACAGTGAAGAAGACACAGGTATAGTCAAAAATATATTATTGAAGTGGGAACTGTACTACAGTGGTTCTGGATTGGATCCAATGGTGGGTTTTTTACATGTTCATTTTGGTCCTGAGGACTCTAAAGGAAGATAAATAATTTTCATATTGTCGAAAAAGACTGTACAACAGATAACGTTCAGTACCACGGATTGTGCATGCTCTGAACGTGGTTAGCTATTGGACGCTATATCTGCCTGGTACCTGTTTGGCATTAATGGTATGTTTCAGAAGTTTAGGAAACGTTCCTGAATGATCATAGTTTACGTTAGGAGAAAAATATATGCAATATTATAGTGATGTTTATTGGAATTGTTGTAATCAGCCTGTAAAGTTGTATTTGGTTATATCAATATAAGATTTATGCCGTCAATGACTACAAGGGAAATTTTAAACCCACCAATGAAATTGAGTAAGAATAACGCGGGAAAGCAATGGACTCCGCTGTGTCGTGGTTGTCGGAGTAGGTGATAGTGGGTTACCTTGCAATAGGTAAGTGTTTAATCTGGTTTGGATAGGAAGGAAAGGTTGTAAGCTGCTAGGGATAGTTTTTGAAACCACATATTGCAGTTTTATTAGCACGGTGTCCTCATAACAGTTATATAACACTAAAAGCTTTTGTTAAAATGTGCTGTAGGTGATCAGAAAGATCCATTCAGGCTTTGGAAAAGCACTGTCATTTGATTATTACTGAGTATTCTTACACATTTCAAACAGTGTTTCGTCAGTTTTATGTAATTTATTTCTTAAAGAGACATATATTGCGTTATGTTTTTCTTTAAATAGAACGATTACATTTAAGATTCTGTTAAGCATGTAGATGGGACAGAGTCTGTATGAAAAGGGTGTTGCAAATGATTCTTGTAGTAATGTTGGTGTGAAGATCGATTATAACAGTTTTGCAAGCCAAATTGTGCCAAGAAACGATAAATAGAACTGTTGTTGGATAAAACTTTAAGATTATGTATTTTCAATTAACCCTGATACATGTTTTTATGGATAATATTTATAGTTTTGAGATATTACATATGCTTCCCCTTGTTTTTGTTGGCAGATTAATCTGATCTTTAAGGTGGCCACATAAGTATATCCAAAACGTGACTACTTTTTGTAGCCCATAATGGGTGAAAACGACACATCTTTGGAGGATCCACCTCCCATAATGACCAAAGAAAGTGATATTGAATTAGCAGCATTAGGCAAAATCTCATTGCAGAAAGGTGAACGTTCTGTAGATGCTTCTCTCAATACTCTGCATTCAAATCCAAAACGAAAACATATAGAACAAGGCATGGAGTTGGTCACAGATTCGATAAACCAGTATCAATCTGATGTGAGTGACATTTCTCCGTGTATTATTAAAAGCCGGTATGGCAGGACCCATAAACCAAAAATACCAGAAGATTTTCTTCCAACTGACAAGAAGGTTGCAGCCATACTTGGTCATAGCCCACATAAAAGCCCAGGTAAAGTTACAGGGTCACAAGTCTCTGTGACTGCTGTAGAAGTAGCAAAGGTTTGCCAAAAGGGGCAGGGGCTCTTTGACATCTTTGTGAAAAAGGATAGACGAAGCAAGGGAAACACAGAAATGGAAAATGTAAATAGAAATTCAAATACTGTCAAAGTAGGTGTATGTAATGTGAAATCAGAAAACCGAGATACAAACAGTGACAATGCTGAAAGTTTCTCAGTCAGAGATGAAGCCACATCTGCAGGTAATGATGGTCTTAGTCCAGGAATTGTGAAAGAGGAAGTAAAAAGTGATACAACAGATAAAACATGTGAGACCTCTGAGTTGTCGCTCTGTGACGAAAAGATGTCTGGTTGTGACTGGGTGATTGGAGACCTTGCATGGGCTCGTGTTTCTGGTTACCCATTCTGGCCATGTATGATTGCTTTGGATCCACAACAGAGAATCTTCACCAAGACGACTGGTGAGTGTTCATTTTTATTGCAAGTAGAGTGGAATGGGTACAAATAGGTTGGTTGTTGCTGTTGTAGTTTGGTATACAATATTTGTGTTTTGAAAACAACTGTATGATAGTGGCTATGTATACTTGGTGTTGAATTTGAGGTTTATTAACTGTTGCTAGGCATAACATAAACCACTGTAACAAACCCTGCCCTCCTGTTACTGAATTTTGGTCTTACTTACTTAATGTGCACCATTTTAATATCTCTGGTGCAACTATTTGTGTTATGAATATATACCATGTTCTGCTACAGAATCATAGTGTGAGCACAGTTTTGCATAGTAGGGAGCAGAATAAATTTTCCATCTTATAGTTCAACATGAACACCTCAATGTGTATTATAATGTTTGATTTTTTATGGAAAATTAATGTATGTTGTAGATACCTACGTTTCTGTTACTGTATAATATCATAATTGGATACTTAGGACTACAAGCATGAATAAAAACACCGATTTTGCAAGACATGTGGTAGACATGGTTGTGGGTGCTTGCTTAATAAACTTAAGCATATCATTATATTAAAACTGTGACAGAACACTGCATGTAATATAATGCCTGCCTTGAGATTGTAAATAAGTTAAGAATGTACTATTGAAGTTGAGATGTCTTATTGGAACATCACCAACATTGAATCACTGCATCTAGGAAGAAAGAGGACATGCATATAGAACAGAATATTTGTTGTTTTGGACTATGCATGAGCTGGGTTAGCTCAGTCTATATAGAGCCTGATTATGGCCCAGCATGGCAAAGGAATCTTCAGTCCTCTGCATGCTGACCAGCTCTGCGGCCCAGCCTGCCTCCTATCCAGTGGGTAGAGGGGATCCTTTCCTCAGGGGTAAAGTATGGCTGGGACATGATATTATGTGGTCACTGGAATCATCCTGTAGTGTTTCCAAACTTGCATGTGTTATAAGAGTTGTTGCAGAATCTTGCTATAGAATACTGTATTGCCTTTCTTCTTCTCTTAGGTCCTCAAAAAATCAGGGTAGGTTGTTGTTTATTTACCTGGCTGCATTAGTTATTTTATCATGAAAGATAGGCCTGATTATCCTGTGTTTACCTGTTGCTCACAAAACACTGGTTTTTTATTATGAAGAGGAGGTTTTGTGAATAAGACTCCAATCTTCTGCACTTCAGTACTGATTGTTCTGAGAATTCACCTCTCCACATAAGGAAAATCAGGTCTAATTAAAAAAAATACTATAAGTGGATAAAACAGAAATTTGTACTGAAAGTTTCTGACATTTTCAGGCAGACTCATATTTGAAACAGAGTTGCACATGCATACATGCACATTGTTTGCTGTGAAATAGATGTCTTAAATGTATGATTTTGTATATATTTATGCTGTGGTTTTCACACTTTGTCTTAATGTATTTTAGTTATTTTCTGACTTAGTAAAGTAACATTTTTACATGGTATGTCATTTCTTTCAACAGTTCGTGGTAACTTCACTCTTCGAAGCTTACATGTTCAGTTTTTTGGGGATAATGGCAGACGTAGTTGGCTGTTCTCCAATTGTGTCATTCATTTTGAGGGTCTTGAAGCCCTTAATAAGCTTGAAGCAAAGGTCCAGAGTGCGGTAAGCAAGTACTGTTACTAAATTCATCTTTTTTCCAGTATGTTTTTTCTTTTTCCTATTGTGAAAGCGTAGTGAAAGAAATGTGCTATTCATATAAATATGTTGGCTGGAGGAGATTGCTTCCAGATAGTAAGGGTTGATCTTAATATGTTGACTAAATATGTAGGGCAGTCAAAAAGTTCCTGGAATTGTGGTATAGCACTGTAATGGTAGGACATATGGCAACGCTTACCTAATCACCTTCAAAGTAGGACCCTTGCGCACACACACACACTTGCTCCATCGATCCTGCCATCATTGGAAGCACCAGCGGAAGGCTTCGTTTGGAATCTTCCGGAATTTGGCTGTCGCATTCGACACATCGCTGGTTGTGCAGCAATGCCTCGCCGAGAAAGGCATTCCCGTCATCACCCAACCATCATACTCTCTGGATCTCGCTCCGAGTGACTTCTGGCTGTTCCCTACTCTGAAAATGGGCCTCAAGGGGGCGCATTTCGCAAACATGGAGGACATCAAATCAAATGCGACGGCCAAAGTAATAGGAGTAATTCAGTTGATTAAATTGATACAGGAACACTGCCACTGATTTTCAATACTTAAGGAGTGTAATTTGTAGCAAGAAGACTTTCTTAAAAATGCTTCTCCTTCACATGTTACATGTTCTTCATAATGATTGACAGGTAAAGTGAGTTGAGATGTGCATGGGTAGTAAGAGCATAATGTGTGTGACAATTGCCATTTTGTGAAGGGAAAGTAGGTGGAATGTTCTGTTAGAGCAGGGATCTGAACCTGTGATTTGTGGGCCAGATGCAGGCCACAGCACCTCTTCTTGGCCCTTTTAGCATATCAGTAAAGTAACTTACAAGTAGGGTCATTTCTAGGTATAGTGCTTCAGGTCTTACATTTTGGTATCTTGGTATTTGTTTAATTTTTTGGTTTGGCTAAGACCCCTCACAATTTTAGTAAGATAGTGGTCAATTACTTCAGAGGAGTGTGTGAGTGCTTGTAATGGTTGATAATTGTTGTTCGAGAACATCATCAATAAATATTAATTATTCTACATATGCCATCTTGTTTTGGGAGGGGGGATTCTCCAATACAATTAAAAGTTGGGGCATCAGTTGTGAACTTCATTTGATCTCATGGACTTAATCATTGCCAATTTCAGTCTGTTTTGTCAGAAATTGATGCTGAATATGGTGGGATCTTGTACCATACAGAAGTTCAATGGCTGTGATGTGGGACAGTGTTGAACCTTTTTTAAAGTTTTGAGTCTAGAAATAGAAAGGCAAAGTTCATGAAAAAGAAAGGCAAAGTTGTGGTTCATATTAGTTATGAGAAGTGGCTTCGGGATTTGTCATTTCTTTGTGGTATCAACGACTACATAAATAACTTAAATGACAAACTTCAGGGTAAACTTGAACTTATTTCTAATGTGTTGGGGTTGCTGGAACTTTTGTAATGGGGCTGAAACCATTTCAAAAACAATTGGGAAATGTTAACTTGTGTCATTTTTTCTTCAGTGATTTTTTTCACAAGGATGGATCAGTAAGTGTTCCCTTTTTAAGTGTGCATGCTGTAGAAATGATTGATTCCTTGGCTGAGAATTTTAAAATTAAACTCTGTGACTTTTGTATCCATACTACAAATATGCACCTTTGAAAACCCACTTTTCCGTTGAAGTTAGTGAAGCTTCAGAAAAATTGCAACCTGAATTGACTGAACTGCAGTGTGACTCACATTTACATAGTAGTTTCATGCTGGAGGTTTTAAGTATCTGTTTGCTTCATTACCAGTGTCATGGTTATCTGAGTAACATAAGTTAGCACATAATTTTGCAAGTGCATTTGGTAGCACACATACATGTGAACTGGTATTTTCACTATGTAAGAAAACAAATTGAAATTACATTTAAGAATCACTGATGTGCATTTGTATGATATAATATGAATTGGCATTTAAAAAATGGAATCTAATATAAATTCTCTTGTGAAACAAAGGCAGGCTTAAGTTTGGTATTAAAAAGATAACTTCAGGTAATTTTAATTGTAATGTTCAATTTTGTCTTTGTTGCAGTAAAGATATTTGAATGCTTCAGTCCTCGTAGCATATATCTTTTGATGTGGCCTGCATTCCTGAAAGGTTGAACATCCTTGTCTTAGAACGTAGTTCATATTTGCAACAGAATTAGTTTATGGTTATCAGTGTTTATGATATCCATTATATTAATGTTCTGGCCGTACTTTTCACAAGGCTATATATAGTCTCAGTTTTGAGGTTATATTCAAGCAAGAAAGTGATTGTAGGAATAAAGAATTTGTTGATCTCTTGTAGATGAAGAAACGGGATCGTAAACTTGCTGCTGCATTCCATGTTGCACCAAAGGCAAAGGCCAAGTGGAATTTAGCTGTAAAAGAAGCTGAAGCAGCCGTGAAAAAAACGAGGTATTTCTTGGGGATGTATTTACATTTATTTGTGTAGGTCATTGTTGTTCTTCCACGAGAATCTTAGATCTCACTAATTATACATTGCTTATTTATCAATACTGTAAATAGCTCAAACTGTATAGTGTTGAATCATGGGATGATTAATAAATAATGAATTGTAAAGAATATGCGATGAAGTTATGATCTAATTTAATGTACTATCATTGCATATGCCTGGATGGACTGAGGAGAACTATGGAAAAGCTTAAACAGGATAGCTAGTTTTAAGGCATAGATTTGAACCCAGGGCCTCCCAAGTATGAAGCAGGAGTGCTAATCAATGAACCACAACATTTGGTACTATTTTTATGGCTACAGTGAAACTTACATATAAGAGAAATTGGGTGGCATTTATATACATGTATGTAACATTCACCTGTCTCTTTGTTCTAGTAATACCTTGCAATACAAAATATGTACTTCAAAATGTGTATGTTTATGTAAAGTTGTAAACAGAAATAATCATTATTTGGTACTTGTTATTAACTTTTTATCATAACACGTTTATGGCATTTTTATTCTTGGAATATGTACTGGAAAAAAAATAGGTTATTTTTCAAAGGATGAGCCTGGCTATCCTGAAGAATGGTGATGAATGTGGGGCTGTCATATGCATATGGCCTCCCTCCCTCCCCCCATATAGTAAGTGTTAGAGCTAGGAGAGCTCAGTCTGTAAAATGATTGGCAACAAGCTGAATGTAAAAAGTTCATTTCTTGTAAAGGGACAGGAATTTTTGTCTGCTGTCATATCCAGAATAGCTCTGAGGCCCACCCAATTATCTTTCCGGTAGGTGTGTGGAAAGTGGGTGGGGCTTTCTGTCCAAGGTTAAAGAGACTGGAGCATGATCCTGACTGTTCACTTCTGTCTAGTGCTGAGGTTTTACATATGCACCCAAACATGTGATGGTGCTTAGACATCAGTACACCCTACATGTGATGTGGGTGTACATATTAGTTCTTTTTTGATGTATTGGTTTACATTTTTGTGTTATCCCCTTGAAGATGTTGCAGACAGTGGTTTCATATTAGTGGTTTGAGCAAACATTATGTGTAATGCATTATCATTTACAGAATTGAACGATTGAAAAGTTTTGCAAGACAGTTTCCACAAGATACTTCTGTCAAAGTTGCTCAAACCAGTAATGCTTCTCCGGGCAGAAGGCAGCAGAAAAGTGTGAATGATGATAGGTACAACTCTTCAAAAATGGTTAGTAATACAATATTGTATTTTGTTTACATCATATCGCTGTCATAACACACATTGTAGTCTTAAAAATCTGTTCGTTAAAGATGAAATAACACTCTTGTAGCAGAATGTGGAAGTCCAACACCCATAATATTAAAGCCGGCCATTGGATATGATCCTGAGTCAGGTCTGTCCTACTTCCTACCCTCACATCTGATTTCCCTAAAATCTAACAAGCACTTTGGTATTGACTTCGTGCGGGATTCACTTTACTCTCGCATGGTTGCATAGGTGGGGCATCTGGCTGGGGATTTCCCAACATTGATTCTGTGTTTTGAAACATGTATTCTTTCATGTGAAGTGTCTTATTACTTAATTTGAACCAAAACTGGATTGACTAATTTTATTAAACTTCAAAATATAAAATTTAATTAAAATATGTTCGTTGGTTCTTGCATTGTTACATGTGACAGATCAGCAGACAGATATTTTCAATAGGTGAACTTTTGCATTGTCTTTGTAATTGTGGCAACAAATCAAGAAAGAAGCATACATCATATAATGTAGCACACTGGGAATTTTGTCATTAACCTTGCTGTTGTTTTGTTACTTATGTCCATTTTGCAGGGAAGTATGGAGGAAGGACCTCATTCCCCAAGTTCTGATGTCACTGACGCTAATGATAAGGATTTATCTCTGTCAGAGACTCCTGACAGTAAATTTAAAATCAGTAGCCCACAGGCGAAAAAGAAGAAACGACAGTTAAAGAAGTACAGTTTTCGTGGCAATAATTTTGGTGCAGACTTTGAAACATTTCTCTGCAAGCACATTCACCGTGTCGCACAGGAACATCCGGAACTGAGTACTAAAGCAGTGGAGAAGTACCTTGCCAAAGAATGGAGTGGAATGGATGAGCAACAAAAGTCAAGGTAAGCTATAGTTTTGTTGCTAGTCCCACAGATATGCCTCTTATTTGAGAGTTGTTCAGTTTGTTTCCTGGGCGAGATACTGATTGTGCTTTTGTCATGGTTTTCATCAGTTTCTGCAGGCAAATGCTGGGTTTTTCCCACAGAATGCTGGGATATTACCTTAAACCATGCTTTAGCTATTTCCTTCACAGTCATCCATTCAGTACGTAATTTGGTATTGTAGATTGTATCATATGGCACAAATAACCAAAGCTAATGAGGGGCCTGAACCTCACTGCCTCTACCACCACCACTGCTACCACCTCACTACTGTTACTACCTTTAATTTTCTGCTGTTGATCACATATACCTGTGTAACTTTATTTTAGAGTAGTCAGTGGTAAGTTGGCAAGACAGACTTAGAAATAACAAATGTTCACTTTTACAAAATGTTTGTCATAGTTGCAAAACAAGGAATATCTAAAAAGAGTAAATTGATAAAGCTTTAAGAAATGGTTTATATTTTACATATCATTGTATTGTTAACATTTGGTATCTGTACCTTCAAATATGACTTTGTATTTTTGATGTTCAAAAAATCTTATTATATTACCTTTTCACCCAACATGTTTTGTCTGTTTCTCAGGCATTTTAAGGGTGTACTATAGAAAACATACTCTGAACCCCTGAAGATGTCTGAAAAGTAGATGAAATATGTGTGGTGAAAGTGGCATAAAACAAGGTTTTACGACATGAAATATGAAGTTATATTTTTTTGTGAATCACATGGTAATATACTTAAAGTTACCAGTCTGAAGTAAACTTGGTAAATGATGAGTTTTGGTCATTAGGCTTAATGGACTGATAGGAATAGATAGCCTGGTTGCTGTCCCAATGTTAACCTTGGCAATTTCAATATTATGAATATTATCTGTCTTCAAATTCAGTATTTATCTGTCATCTATTGTCCTTAATTTAGTTCTTATAAATACATTATGCTGTATTTCCCTTAACATAAGACAATTTCACTTCTCACTTATGAGAAAGGCTAATGGGAGACATACGAGTGTTGGCAACAGTACATAAAGAAACACAACACACCAATCCACAAATAACAACAAAATATTACCATTTTGTAACCCATTATTTTAAAGACTTTCACATTACCACTAGTGGATTATTTTAGTATACTTTATCCTCTATTTTATCACTGACAGAATTAAACACCAAATGTGCACAATTTGAGAACCTGATGATGACCATTTTTGGCTAACAAATGTAGTTCAGTGATAATGAACACTTGAAAAACAGTGAAAATTATGTGTGAATATGACAGTGACAGTGATATTAAAGTTAGAGTCTCATGTATGCTAAGCATCACATAATATGTTTTCTTATTATACAGGTTTTGTAGTCGATTGACTGGTACTAATGATACTGAGAAATGTACTAACATGTCAAGCAGTGAAGAGGAAGATGATGTCGATGGTGATGTTGATGAGAGACAATCAAATGAGAGTGAGAAAGCTGATAGTAATGATACCCGTGATTCAAGTCCTGCTCCATTTTTCAAACTTAGGAAGGGTTGTGGATTGTTCCGTGGCACCAGACAGGAAAAAGTTTGCCAGATATGTGAGAAACCTGGTGACACTGTGAAGTGTCGAGGTCCGTGCTGTGGTACTTTTCATATAAAATGTGTGTCCGAGTATTTGGCAGCCAAAGATAATATGAATGACATAACCCCAAGCAATGTGAGAATAAAGAAAAGCAAATCTGTTTTAACAAGCCATATGAATAAAGTTGGTATAAATGATGTATCATTTAACGTGGTAGATGGAGATGATAAAAAAGTTAGTGAATTCACTAATGTTTCTGAAGCTGATGGTGAACTTACAAAGCCTGTCAGTGGTATTGCTAATCTTGTAGAACATGGTAATAAAGATGAGAAAGAATGCAGTCGTGTATCAAGGAAGAGGAAAATGTTCAGTACAGAAGAACAGATTTGTGTTGCAAACAAGAAGGTTGACAAAGAAAAGACTCTTAATAAGAATGACAGAGGTGGGGAAAGCAGAAAGGATGAAAATGAGAAAGTGTCTGAAGTAAAAGTGGATTCTTGTGCTGTTGAAGGAAATGAAGAGGAACAGGAATACAAAGAAAATGTGAAGCAGGAAACAGTTGATGAGTTGAAAATGGATGTGGATAAGGTAAATGACATTGAGGAACTGGAAAATGACAGTACAGGAACTATAACCAAGCGAGATGAAAATCAAATTGTAGATGTTGATGAAAAAGAAATAGAAGATGATGTAAGGGAATGCTCAGTGATTAAAGAAGAAAACCATACAGAGATAAGTTCAGATGAAATAACCAAGGAGGTAATGGAAGATGTGATAAAGGACAAAACTGTTTCAGATGGGAGGAGAAGTGACAGGTTGAAAGGCCGCTGTTATGTGGAAAATAAAGAAGGAAAGAAAGATGCTGAGAAGGGTGTGTTTGCTAAGAGAGGAAATCAAGATGAGAAGGGAGGAGGGAAATCTGATTGTGATGGAAGTGAAAATATGATGAAAGACGCAGGTTTTTGTGGGGAGAAAGACAAATATAAGAGAACAACAAGACTTGTTGCTAAAAAAAGGGATAGAAGAGATGATAAAGAAATGAAAGCTGATGGAAAAGAAATTCAGAAACAAACAAAAGTTACTTCTGAGGAGAAAGACAGAGATGAAAAGAAAGAGAAAGGTGTTTTAAAGAAAAAGGGTAAAGAAGAAAAGAAGGGAAAGGATGGTGCAACAGAGGAGAAATTGGTGACAGACTGTGCATCTGAATTCCATTGCAGTGACTGCAAAGAAGGCCGGAATCCACCATGCTTTGCATGTGGTAAAATAGAGGAAGAGAAGACTGGCAGAGAGCAGCGCCAGCGCTGTGCAGTGGGTAAGCTTATAAAGAATTCTTAATCCTAACACAGTATAATGCTGTTAACAGAACCACAGTTAACCTGAAACATGTATTTGTTATTATGAAACTAGGAAGAATCTTTTAAATATTATAAAAGTCACCTACAAGTATTATTTACATGAAAGTGATTAATTTCTTACTTCATTAATGTCCTTCAAAAATGAAGTCTTATCTGATGAAATGAAAATTTGCAAACAGTATGCACAATGTTTTGCTAAATACAATGTTACTTGTAAAAAATTTAAATGTGTTTCACAGACTTCCATTTTGGATCTGGTAAATTTGCAGGTAGATCTTGTGTCTTGTGGTGCTAACACAGATTCTTTGTTAAATTAAGTGTGGAATTCACAGAAATTACATTTTGGGCAGATGCTGTAGTCAGTCTCACAATCCTACAATCAAAATAAAATCTGGAAAATGATGTTGAAGAGTAGTGTCAAATCCATTTTCAGAGTTTAAAATCCAAAAATGTACCAGGTTGAGTGTCATGTTTAAATACATCTCCATCACAGGATTAATATGCTAAATCATTGAGTAATTTTTGTTTCTAATTTTAGGTCACTGTGGCAGGTTTTATCATATTGAATGTCTCAAACTGTGGCCTCATGCATGGTCAAGTGGTAGTTCATCATCTCGGAGGCAGTTGGCTGCGGCAGCCCGTGGAGAGGTCACTGGAGGACAGGTAGCTGTAACTTGTCCTCAGCATGTTTGCCACACTTGTGCATCTGATGATCCTAGAAATGCTACAACACGTTTTGCACATGAGCGACTGGTACGCTGCATACGGTGTCCTACTGCATATCACACTGGTAAGTAAAGTAGGCCGTGGAGATCCAGTTAATGGATTTGTGCTGAACTGGGCATGATACCAACTAGTATGTACCAGAAAGCCATATCATGTCCATTGGAAAGGTTAGGCATCATTCAGGTAAATCAGGGTTGGATAGGCCCATAGCTAACTTCAGCAACATATAGACAGGACGAGAGTTGGGATACTTTTGCTTCAGATGACAAAACATATCCAGAACTGAAGTGAAACAAGATTCAGACATAACAACACGAGTTGGGTCATTCATTCCCTCATCATGGAAGCATGAAAACTCTTAGAAAGGGACTTCTGTTCCAAATCAATATGGCTGATCACCTAAGAACATTTTATGAAATGAACTACAACCTTCCAAGTGTGGTGTGGTGCAAACAGATAATGTTTTGTGTTCTTTTATATAGTGTAAAAATCACATTATGAAAAAACTGCCCTCTTACCATGCATATGTTAAGTAATTTGCTTTATTATTAATATTTGTCTCATCTAAATCAGGTAACTACTGTCTGCCAGCTGGTTCGGAAGTGCTGACAGGAACACAGATCATTTGTCCCAAACATTATGAACCTCCACAGAAAAAGACTTATCATGTTAATGCAGCCTGGTGCTTCATTTGTGCTATGGGTAAGCCTCTTTACTTCATTAAAATAAGGAATAAAGTCGCGTAATTAAAAAATGTAGGTGTTTGAAAGTAGGTTTCAGAAGTTTCAGATAATATGAGCGGGATCAACAAATCTAGCTCATTTCACCAGTCGCAAAAATGTGACTATCTGGTGCCTGAATGGTACTTGAGAAAATTAAAAATGTATGTAAGTATACAATGTGCAGAGTAAAACCTGTATTAATATCTCTCTCTCTCTCTCTCTCTCTCTCTCTCTCTCTTTTCCCCCCATCTAGCAATAACAGTTTACTATAATTTTAATTGATCATGACACTGTATTTTCTTAATGGCTGTATTGACATTCAGGGATGTAATTGATATCTTTTGATAGGTGGTTCCTTAATATGCTGTGACTTATGTCCGACTTCATTTCATATTGAATGTCTGCGACTATCTCCTCCAGAAGGTGGTTTCATCTGTGAAGACTGTGACACTGGAAGGTTTCCATTATATGGTGAAATTGTGTGGGTGAAACTTGGAGCTTACAGGTCAGCATTAAAACAAGGATGAGCAACTATTTTTAATTGGTGGCCAGTTGTGGTTGTTTCAAGGTGGAGATCTCATTAAGAAGTTTTATTGTTATTAAATTGTAAAATAGGTTCCATACTTTATGAATAGATAGGTGAAAAAGTAACATCATTAATAATTATAATTAAATTAGACATGGATGTCCAAACTTCCAGAATGTTTCCCCTCCCCACAGACCATATTTTTCACACACTCACATTAGAGACATTCATAGGTTAACTTTGATGTTAGTATCTGACAACTTTTAGATTGTGGAAGTACAGATTAGTGGAAATTGTGCATAAAAATCAGTTGTTGAAACCATATAATTGTTAATAACTTTGCTAGTTTATATGCAGATGAAAGAAAATGGGCATCATAAGGTCTTTACAAATTTTTTGTTAATAAATTTTACTTTTGCCTAAGATTTTATTTCTTTACAAGTTCTACTGCTGCTTTTCATCATGAAGTTATTTTCTTTTTGCTTTGTCAGTTGCCTGAATAAAGTATATATACCATATTATGGAGACTAATTCTATAATGTGGAAGGAAACTTCTTGGTCTGCAGTGGCCATAAAAGATGAAGGCAGTTCTTTTAATAAGGTCTTGCTTTATTCTTATTTTTAGGGCCATTTTGATTCTTGTCACTATGGCTAATTTTGGCCTCACTACTTTTACTAGATTTGTTTATATTGCCTTGACTAGTGTTATTCTTATTACTATCCTTTATCCTCCAACTATTTCCGTGATGTCAGCCCAAGAGCAACCAAGTGGCTTCATGAAGGGAAGTAAAAATATTTTAAACAGATTATATTATGTTTGGGAAAAAAACTACAAATGCTGTTTGACATTGCTTTCATTACATTATCACGAACCTTATCTTTCAGATGGTGGCCAGCGCAGATCTTGTATCCAAGTCAGATTCCTGAAAACATCCACAATCTACCCCATGTACGGGGAGAGTTTGCTGTTAGGTTTTTTGGTTCTCATGATTATTACTGGGTGAACCGAGGCAGGGTCTTCTTGTATCAGGAAGGGGTGAATATGATTGAGATATGAACTGTACAATTCAGTAAGTGTATGGCTGTTGCTGATATTGATATAATGGATGGCTATTTCTTTCCTAGGATACTGGACACAGCGCCAGGCGCAAATCTTACATGGAAGAGATGTTTAGTTGTGCACTGCGTGAGGCTAATGAAGCTCATAAAACATTAGAAGGAGAGAAAGCTACAAGAGTTGCTGAGGCTAGACCAGTTATGGTAAGGTGTATAAATACATGACTCTTATATTGGACACTCCACTGTATGAGATATATGCAGTGTGGTGAGAAAGCTATGAGACTAAAATGAAATAAAAATATGCAGTATGAGTATTGTTTCATGAGAGGCTGCTGTAGATGCACTGAAGTATGACCTTTGCAGTGCTGCTAACTGTAACCAGTTGGGATTCGGGGAATATATTTGTAAATTTAAAATTTCATGTAATGTATAGCTTTTCAAAGTATTAACCCATGTTTATTTTAATGCAAATATATTTTCATGTTCAGACAGCTTAGTGAAGTGTCTGGGTTGGACCGTGATTCCATTCGCTCTAGAGGCATGGACACATGCATATCACTCCAAGACACTCGGCCTACTGTCCATTGTACTAAGGGTATACTTTTCCCCGGAGTAAAGCAACCAGAAGCTGACTGCCGCCGATTGCTGGGTCTAAAAATGCACGGAACTCTCTGTAGTCCGCTTTGGCATTTTGCTTAGATACAGAGCCAACTTTGCCTGTATTTAGCAGCTTATAAGATGATCTCATATAAGGCATAAGGGATTAATAATCTCATTACATGTCCATATAAAAATTTAGTAAAATTTTCCAGCTGAAATAAAACTTATTTTCACAATACCTGTTCTGGGTTCACATGCTGTTACCCTGGTAAAACTTGTACTTGTTAATAGTTCTTTGTCCTTTTTGTATTATTGCTGCCAGACTTTATGGCCAAGTGGTTAACACTCCTGCATCATATTCAGGAGGTCCCAGGTTCAAAGCTGAGTTAAGGGACTGTCTATCAAGGCAGGGTTTCATTTTTCTCAGCCCCCCAGGCAAATGCTGGATAGTACTGTAAATTAGACCATGACATTTTCTTTCCAGTTTGGTATTTGTTCATATTTTCTCATTTGACACCATATAACATGAGCTACTACTGACAGTATCAGTAATGTAATCATAAATCAGATGTAAATAAATAAATTTGTCACTGATCTCCGGCTTCAGAAATACTTGGGAGATGACACATAATTATTGGTCCTTTTTGCGTACCAAAGTAACTACAAATTGAAAATTGGCTGCATATTGTTCAAACAAGTAATATGAACGTTGGTGTTAGTGCTAATACCATACTGTAAATTAAATTTTAACTATTGCCATAAAGGTTCATAGTGTATCCACAAACTAAGCACTATCTGGCAACTGTGGCTTACTTAAATTTTGCTTATCTGTAGTGTATTAACAAGAAAATATTTACAAACTATTTTTCTGTGTTGTTCTCTTTGGTCAAACAACACCTAAGTATGCGAGATTTGAAGTTTTCACAGCGGTG